TGCCGGGAGCGTGGGGCTGTGGGTTCTGGAGTCTCTGGTACATCCCCTCCCTAGGGAAGAGGAAGCGTCCACGTGGCTGGAGGCCCCCCGCGCTCTCACCTGGCCTCTCCAGCACCCCGACTGCTGCCACCTGCTTCGTCCTTGCCACCTCGTCGCCTGCAACGCCTCTGCGTTGACCTGGCACCTGGGCGGGCCTTGGCTCACCGGGGGTCCCATGACCCCATGTCCCCGGCCCTGGGATGTCCTGACAAACCCTCCTCCCCCGGGGATGAAGCCCCCCGCACCCCCGCCTTGGCTCACGCTTGAAGCTTACTATCTTAATCCAGTTTTCTCTCTGAGTCCCTCCCAGGGCAGTAAGTTTCCTTGAGGACAAAGATATTCTCCTGCTGATTTCTGTGTCTCTTGGACTTCATCAGAACTTAATAAATATTTATTGACCGACTTACTGTATATTTTGGCCCTTTCGTAATAGGAATGAGGCCTTGTATTTGCTTTGCTCAGGGGCCAGCTTGCTGGGGGGCCAGGAGCACCGGCGGAGGTGGGGAGGGATTTGGTTCCCCAAAATGGCGATCCCGTTGGGAGAGGCAGTAGATGGCTGAGCCCGCAGAGGAGAGGCTCGTTTTTTGTCCTAAATGCGTCTGTGTCCTCGAAAGTGTTTCCCGCGAGCCTGGGTTCTTCTGGTACTTTTGTAATAAAGTCGCTTATTTAGGTTCTGAGTTGACATGGACGTTGTCCGAGGGAGGGGACAGATCTGGCCTTTTTTGGACAAGATTTTTCCATACTTTTCTCAGCGCCCCAGTCCCAGACCCTTTCCAAGGGGCTCTCTCCACCGGGTAGATGTGTGTCATGACACGAGACTCGAAGGGCCGGCACAGGGGGCAGGAATTTTCTGTGGGCTGTAATTGGGGATCGTTTTTAACTGCCTGCAGGCATTTGCAATATTATTTCAGCTGCGAGGGCATGGCCGGGAGTTACAAGAACCCCTTCATCCCAGATGTCCATGCGGAGCGATTTGCCATCCTGTACCTTCTCATTTTTCACCAGGAAAGGCGCCAACAAACCGTGTTTATCCTGGTTCCCAAAGGGTTCGAAGGACCACGTCCCTCCACCCCTAAAGAAAACTCTTTTCTTTGAAATGTCTTTTCCATTTACCCTGCTCTGAAGAATGGCGTTTTTAAGCTCTCTTGTTTTTCTACATATTAAATTTTCAAAGGGATGATATTTTTGAGTTCAAAGTGCCTCTTTCAAGTCTTTAATGGTTCTTGGTCTGGCGCTCACCCGCAGGAATTTCTAAAAGAGCATCTGATGGGTCCGTCTGTTCGGGAGCTGGAAGGGGAATCCAAGCCAACGCCGCTGGCACCGAGTGCCCAGGCCGATCCCCCCTCCAAATCTTTGCTTTTCATTGTGTGCTGGGTCCTGGCAAGGCCAGCTGGGCCATCTCCCTGGCTCGGGGCCGCTCGCTGGACCGTGGGGGATGGAATAATGTGTTGGGGCAAAAGCCCAGATTACACTGCACGGCCCAGCTCCTGGGCGCCTCTGGCCTGGCCTGGCGCTGCAGGAGCTCCTGCAGCCTCCGTCGGCAGCCCCCATAAAAGGCAGACCTCCAGTTGTTCACCCCAAAATGTCCCCAGCACTTGGGATTCTCGGACCAATGGCCCAGATCTACCCTGGACCTTCTGCTGTTGCTCTGGTTTGAATTTCTTCTCCTAGAAAAGCCACACTGTGTAAAACTCGACGACTCTGGAGAACTGAAATCCAGACCAGCCAATCCCCACCATCTTCCCTCTTGCTCTTCGGTCCCTCTAAGGGCGTCTGCAGGCCCCTTGTGCCCTCCTTGCTGCAGAGCATGCTCCTGCCTGGTTGTTGCTTCCCGATAATGTCGGATGCTCATTGGCTGCCCCTGGCATTCAGGGTGGGCAGTTCTCTGTCCTGCATATTGCAGGTCGTCGTGGGGCTGCTCACCACATTGCAGCAATCACCTCTAGTCGTGATGACAACAGTAATTCATTCTCAGCCTGGAGCTGGTGGGGCGCAGCACCACCCCCAGGCTGACTTAGCAACTTAGCGGTGGAGGGTACTGCGGCCTGGGGGAACAGTACTGCCGTCTGCGGGCGTGGGCAGTACCACGCTCAGCCTGGGGGGGGCAGTAGCACCCTCAGCCTGAGTGAGCTGTATCACCTGTGAGGGTCAGTATCACCCTTAGCCTGTGGGGGGCAGTACCACCCCCAACCCAGGAGCCCAGGGTTCTGGGCTCCGTGCTCTGGAAGGCAATGTTTCCTTCCTTCCTTCCTCAACCCCCAGCACCCTGCACCCCGCACAGATATTGCCAGACTCCAGACTCAAGGTAGGGCTTCAGTAAATACTTGTTGAATGAATGAATGAGATCCAGGAACAAGCTTCAAGGAACCTGGGAAACCTGCAAAACTACAAAATGTGTGTGGCTCTCAGGGCGGTTTGGTAGGACGAGGGCAGGGACAGGATGCTTCTTCCTGGGTGACTCCCAATGACAGCAGAGAACATGGCGACATCACTCAGCTCCCCCCTCAGCTGAGTCATGTGGCAGGTCAGCCTGGGGGTCTGGGCCATCCTTCTGGAGAGTTCCTTGTGGACTTGGCTGCTTTAGGGAAACACAGTCCACACCCTGAGGCAGGAAAAACAACTGGGTCAAGCTGGGGGCTGAGCCTGGGTTCCAGATGCTTCTGTAGACCTTCGTGAAAGTTTGTTCATTCTCCGCCCTCTGCCCTGTGGGACAGGTCCCAGCTGGGCGGCATGTGGGGTGCAAAGGAAATCAGCTCGTGCCCGCCTGGGTCCTCCTTGGGATGGACAAGTAATTGAGCCACTTTGGCAAAGGAAAAACGATGAATTTAATAACACATGTCCGGAGAATCCACGTATTCTTCAGAACACGTTCTAAGGAATAACACAGTGGATTGGGGTGTTTATCCTGTGTGGGACGCGGGACATCGAGGACAGAGAGGGACAAGGAGGGGGTGACCTCATCCTTACTCTGAGGGTAAAGATGAGATTCTTAGAGAGGACGTGTCTACCAATAAACTCAGCTGGGTGACCCCCCAAACTACATTCTTCTAGGTCATAAAAGGGGGGAACAATGATGGTTTCTGCTGTCAGGAAAGAGCATAAACTTGGGATGCAGCATCTTCTTTCTGATTAGGGATAGACTTAGCAAGGACAGAAGCTTCTGGCCTTCTGGGCCCTCACCACTCTCAACCCCAAACAATCCGCATTAAGTTGTGGCACTGGGCCTCCGGGGGCCTTGGTTGGCCTGTCCCCACACCAGGGTGCAGTTGGCCTGCCCTGGGCCCGCTGAGAAGTCTATCTGGCCCTTCGGGGGACCGACCCCACACCGTGAACATGATCTGGCTCCTCCTTGCTGCTCTCCTGGCATCGTCCACCCGTCCTGGGAGGGTCCTGTGCCGGGAGAGAAGCGACAGTGTTCTAGAAAGGGCATCTGGCCAAAATAGGGCTGGAGCCCCCAGTTCAGAGTGAATCTCTAGCTAGGAAGCTTCGGAGCGTGCTATCGTTGCCCTGGAGAGATTATTCCGTTTGCCGGAGTTGGGTGCCGGCTCCAGTCTGTTCAGCAGGGACCTGGTAATTCGCATCTCCAGCAGCATTCGGAGGGGGCTGATGCCGCCGGTCCAGGGAGCGCGGCTGGTCCCCAGCGGGGCTTCACACTGGGCTCCATCGCGCCCCCTGGTGGGGAGAAGAGGGATGGGACAAGCCAGCGAAGAGCAGGCGGCACTGTCACCCCCACCAGCACCCCGACACCTCCCTGTCTATCTTCTTACAAATTTGTCTTCTGGGGTTAAACAAAGAACCCCCGATAAAGAGCGAGGGGGAGACCACTGGCCTGGAGTAGGTGGGTCCAGGCCTGCACGAGAGAGGGTCCTAAGAATTGAGCCTCCCCCCTCCTACCAATCATCGTGTCTCGGGGCGACCTCTGCAGAGAAACCTGAGCATTCGAAGCCAATCAACCCCCCAATAACCAGTGAAGCAAGCAAGAGCAAGTGTGGCACCCCTCCTGTGTGAGCACCCCCAGTTCAGGTGGCAGAGCCGTTCCCTGGGCCCTGGGGCAGGGCGCTGACCGGTGCCAGCTGTCTGCCCGCAGGCCTGAAGCTCAGTTTCCACAAGCGAGGCGGGCAGGGGCCCTGTCTGGCCGCGCCCCGCATCTCACCGGGGCCCGGGAGGCTCCTTGGCTCAGTCACTCCATCCTCCCGGATCCAGCCTTGGGTTAGCCCCGGCCCCGCAGCTTGGGCCTGGTGGGCGGCGGGCCGGGGCAGTCGGCCTGCGGTCACCGTCTCGGCGCTGGCCTGGACCCCGCGCCTCGCGCCCGAGAGACCCGGGGTGAGCCGCTGTCTCGTCCCAGGGTCCCCGTCTGCGAAAAGGAGGTGGTGGCAACCAGCGTCTGTCCGCGGGGGCCCCAGCGCGCGGGAGGCTCCGGTACCGCCTGGGCCCGTCGTCACCGAGTCTTCGCTCTCGACATCGCGTCGGTGGTTTGGGGGACACAGGAGCCGGTCCCTGGATTTGTTACGGGGCTGCCGTCCACTGTCAAACACGGGGCGTCTCAAAGTGGAAATTGCTTTTCTCACGGTTCCGGAGACAACGGGTCCCAGAGGAAGGTGTGGGCAGGGCCGTGCTCCCTCCGAGGCTTTGGGACCGCTGGCCCCAGGCCTTCCTCCCCGAGGCGGCGCCCTCAGCCGCCCTGTCCCCCCAGGGCTCCCGTCTGTCCGTGTCCTCTTGCCCCGGGCCGCCGTCGGGGCGCATCAGGACTCTTCACTGAGCACGACCGCGTCACAACGTGATGACACCCGCACAGGCCGCATTTCCGCGTCCGGGCGCGTCCCCCAGGGGTCGGGAGCATTTGGCTTTGGGGACACAGCTCAGCGCACGGCACCGCCTGCCCGGAGCGAGGCCGAGGCCCGGGGCGCGTGGCGTGGCTTCGCGGGGCTGGACTCAGCGGCCCTGCTGCTTGTGTCTTCCAGGGTGCTCAGACCTGCACCTGCTGGACATGCTGACGCCCCCCGAGCGCAAGCGGCAAGGCTACATCCACGAGCTCATCGTCACGGAGGAGAACTACGTGAACGACCTGCAGCTGGTCACGGAGGTAAGGGCTCCCCCCCTCCCCCTCCGGGCGGCCTGGGTCCTGGCCCCAGCCCGGGAGCCTGCGGGTGTGGGGGCCGCTTCGGAGGCGTTTCTGCCCCAAGAAGGAACAGCGACGTCTCGTGGGGCCAGGTCTGCGTCGCGCCCCCTGGGCCGAGGGACAGAGTCCCCGCACGGCCGCGGGGCAGGGACACGGGCCCGTGACCTTGGCGTCCGGCTCCAGCGCAGGAAGCCGTAGCTCAGCCACCAACCGGCTCCACAGAGCAGGCCCCTCCGGCCTCCCCCGGGCCTCACCTGGAGGAAGCTGCTGTCCGGCCCACGTCTTGAGCTCCTCCCAGTGCTGTCTGTGACCCTGAGAAAAACCTGTCACAGAGAGTGGCGCTAGCTCCTCCTGGGGTCCCCTGTCCTGGACGCGCCCCCGTTTTGTCTCTCCTCCCAGGTGGAGATGCAGGGCCCTGGGTGTCCCCTGGAGGGGAGCAGCACAGGGGCCAGGCTTCCTGGAAGCCTTTCGCCCAAACAGAAGGGGAGCTCCCTGTTAGGAGATGGGTTTGCAGCGCTGGATGTCAGGCTCACCCCACAATTTGAAAAGCACCCTCTCCTCTGGTGTATCGAGAAGCCGCCACCTCCAGCGCTAGGCTCCAGGGTGGCGCGAGCGCGGATGCGGGGTGGGCGGCAGGCCCCGAGAAGCCCTGGCGCAAATTCAGGGAAGGGGCCCTTCCTTGATGCACTCGGCTGCCGCTACGTAGACAGATGCGAGTGTCTCCTCTGAGATGTGGCCTTTTTGTGCCTGGTTTGTGCCAAGTTCAACATCCACTTACAGACGCCCGAGGACGGGGGTTCGCAGGGTTCAGCCCCCGCCCACCCCTGTTTCCTGCAAAGACAGACAGGCCCCATCTCCACAGAACCCGCAGAAGGCCTGGCCTCCCTGGGCAGGCTCGTGGGCAGGGCCTCCGCAGGGGTTGGCCGAGAGCTGGACCCGCTGGAAGCTGCACAGCCTGAAGAGTATGGGGTGCCCCAGAGGAGCCCGCTGAGGCAGGGCTTGTTGGAGGCCTGGCTGCCTGGGGCAGCTCCCTTTGGGTGCCCAGGGCTCAGCAGAGGGTGCAGGAGGGAATGAAGGGACCACCCACCCCCTTTAAGCCTCTAAAGCCCCCTACTTTTCCTGACAAGCCCCTTCCTCATGGAGGCAGGTATATGGACTTGTGCAGGCCCGGATGGAAGCCCCGACAGGCAGACCCTACAGGGGACCCTGCCCCCAGGCCCAGGAGGGGCCACCTGGGCAGCCCTGCAGGAGGGCACAGCCCGGGCCTCCCAGCCCTGCCCTGCGGGCCTGAGCAGCCTGCCCGTGCATGCGCGAGGGGGGTGTCAGCTAACTGTTTGCCTTCTGAACTGCTTCCTTTTCTGCATCTGTAGATCTTTCAGAAACCCCTGATGGAGTCTGAGCTGCTGACAGAAAAAGAGGGTGCTATGATTTTTGTTAACTGGAAGGAGCTGATTATGTGTAATATCAAGCTACTGAAGTAAGCTGCTCTCTAACCTCGCTGCCTCCCGCTGGCCCCTCGGGCTCCGGGCCGCCCTCCGTGCATGCGCCGCCCTCTTCTCTGCCTTTTCTACTCATTTCCACTCACAGGCACCATTCCTCTTTTTCTGGACCCCCGCCCCCATGTGTCATTCCGGGAGCAAATCTCCTAGGCACCCCGACTCCTGCTTTTCCTGCGGTCCTAGAATTCCCAGCGCTGGCTAACTCTGGCTCCTCATGGCAGGCCGGCTCCATCCGGGGGGTGGGGCACCCCCGCCCCTACCTTCCCGAGACCCGGGTTTCCTTGGGGAGCATTGACAGTCTGGGCCCCTATGTGTGGAAATGGGGAGCCATTCACTGCCGACCTCAGCCGCCCCGCAGAGAGCAGCCTGGGGGCCTTTATGCGGCTTTTACTTCAATTCAGTTAGCAGAGGCCACTGCCGGGCAGGAAAAGACCCCAGGCCCGGAGTTAGGAGACCTGGATGGAGCCCAGCTCACTGCCCTTCCTCTCTGAGCCTCAGTTTCCCCATCTGTAAAAACAAGAGGGTTGGATTAGCTCATCCCAAAGTTTCCAATTTTAAAGAAAACAACGAAATCCGCGCCTGCTGGCTCCTCATCGTCCCGCCGCCTGCTGGAACAGGGGGGCCGCTGCGGCCGCCTGCTGAGGGAGCTGCCAGGAGGGCGGGCCCTGGACCGGGCCCCTTCCTGACCATGAGAGCATGGCGCCCTGTCTAGCGGGGCCCCGGCCTTGTCCTGAGAGTCGGTGCAGGCTTCCCCTCGAGTGAGCAGGAGTCGAGAGTGGCTGGAGGACTGAAGGGGGTGTGAGGGGACGTGGCCTCTGCTCCCGTGGACAGTCAGATGACCCGGGCGGGGGCCTGTAGACGAGCATTTCCACTGTCCACAAGCACTTTGCTCTGGAGGCTTCTGCCTTTAGGCCGGCAGCTCCTGCGGCTGCCCACCTGCTGTGTGCTCCCGAGCCAGTCCCTCACCTCCCCCCCAGCTGGTGTCTGGTCATGGTCCGGGTGGGGGTGCCAGCAGCCCCCCCCCCAGCTTGTGTTTAGGGGCAGGAGCATCTGGCCCGCAGTGAGAGCTGGGCCTGTGTCTGGGACGCTGTGCTCCCGCCCTCCTTGGAGAGAGGCGCCCTGGCCCCTGCGGGCGAGGGGTGTGAGCCCCAACCTGCAGGCACTGGCCCTCAGGGTGGGAGACAGTTGTTTCCAAACCGGTAGAGGGTTCTGTGTGGCAAACGTGTCTACCAGGGAAACCCCTTAGCTGAGGCATCGCGGGAGGAGGGGGTCAGGCGTGTCTGACATTCCCAACCGCGGCCCCTCGGGGCTGCTCGCCTGAGGGAAACAGGTGCCTGGGCTCTGGGCTCTGTGTCCGTCTCACCTTCCTCCTGCTCCTGGGGGCAGGGGGAGAAGCAGCCCTGCCGGGGCTCTGAGGGCCAGGCCTGCGCCCGTGGCATCTTCCTCCCTGAGCTCCGTGCTCCACAGCAGCCCAGCGGCGCCCAGAGTGGTTGCCTGAGGTCGCACAGAAGGCGAGTCGGGTGCTCCCAGGTTGCTCTGGGGATGACGTCCAGGGTCCCGCTGGGGGTTCCACCACCCTGGCGGATGCCAAGCATGGGGAGCTGGAAGCAGCCTCCCGGGTGTTCACCCGACCGCTGCGCTTCTGACTTGCCTGGCGCTCGGAGGAGCAAGGGGCCGAGGAGCACTCAGGCTCGCTCTCGCGGGTGCACGGTGCTCCCGCCCCATCAGGGTCCCCCGGCCTCTGTCCTCCCATGACCTGACTCGGGAGCTGCTGATGTCTCCATCTTCCAGATCAAATACCTCTGCTTACAGTGGCCGCTGGGGACCTTTCTGCTTTCTTTTCAACATCTTGTTAGGAGTGATTTCAAACACGCAGGAGAGCGGGAAGCGGGCAGCTCAGCGTCCTCGCTGCAGGCTGCGCCATCCCCACCGCGCTCCTCCCTCGCTGGGCTGACTTAGCTTCTTCATGCAAAGGGCCGTGGCGGGGCTGGCCTGGAAGAGGGAGGCAGTTTTGGAGAAAGAGCTTAAGGCCATGTCCCTGGGAGACTGCGATGAGCAGCCACCAGTGTCTGCCACCCTGTCAAGATCTAGCGAGAACTCCTCCTGCACACGTGTGTGTGTGTGTGTGTGTGTGTGTGTGTGTATAGGGGGCACCTCGGAGTCATCAAACAGATGAATACACAGAATAGAGTGAAAATAAAACAGGCTTCCTACTCACGGTCCCCGGGCTGGGGCTAGGAGCCCGCGGTGAGCTCTGTTACTGGCGAGCAGGGAGCTGAGAAATTTGCTTTTAATAAGCAGACTAGGGCAGAAAGATCTAGAACCTTTAAAGTTAAGAGCCAGGTGCAGGCCCCCAGGGGTAGCTGTGAGACGTGAGAGCAGACGTGAGGTGGGACCGCGGGGTCCCAGGTGCTGGTTTTCTAGCCAGATCCTGCCTCCTTCCTTGAACACACACACACACACACACACACACACACACATTCTCAAAGTTTTCTTAATATAAAATATTTGGCTTACCTTCTTTTTCATGTAAGAAAATAGACACCGTGTTTTTTAGGCTTAATGAACTTTATTTTACCTGTAGACTCGGGGGCGTACATGGTCTCTTTACAAGAAAAGTCATGAGTGGCAGACTCTGCTCTCCTGTCAAAGACGTCTTCCGCGGGATCGTATGGTCCAGCTCATCCACGGCTGTTTCAGACGACCTGCTGATAAAACCACACTGGGGTGATAAAAACACCCCAGGCAGCCAGTGCTGACTTGGGCACCCCTCCACACAGGCCTGCCGGAATTGCCAGTTGCTCAGCCCACGTAACTTATTGGCCCTGAGGTTTTTCTTCTTGTCTTGCTCACCCAGTGCAAGGGGTTTTTTTTCTCCTTTAGCCAAAAAATGTAGGAGAAGGTAAATGATCTAAAAACTTCAAGGCCCAATGCTAGTATTACACAGCCTCCTTGGAATTCTAGGACCCTGCCCACGCTGCACGGGCTTCTCCGACTTGGCCATGAACAGTCAAAGGAATTCATGGTGGCATCCTTTCAGCCTTACGTGGAACACCATTATGTTCCATCCATCCATCTGTCCATCCATCTGTCCATCCATCTATTCATCCATCTTTCTATCCATCTATACATCCATCTGTCCTCTCATCCATCCATCCACCCACCCACCCACCCATCCATCAGTCCAGCTACCCATGGTGACTAGCGTAGGCAGAGCACTGGTAGGCTGTGGCCCTGCTGTCATAGTACATTTCTCTCCTTGCCATGTAGGATCTCAGTGCCATGCCCTCCCCTAGATGCTGGCATTGGGAGCTCACATATTAGAGCTGGAAGATGGGGTGGGGGGTTTGCACCATCCTGGCTGTGGTAACCCTGAGCTCTCAGTCTGCTGCTGGACCCAAACACTTCCCATCCCGCCAGTTCCTTTTCAGCCCCTTGGATACAATAGTTTGGGGTTCCGTGGCCTTCATCGGACAATAAGCTTCTCCTGTCAGACTCCTTAATCCGGTCAACTCCAGACTGGCCACCACAAGGCAGCCGTGAAACATTGCCCATACCTGCTTTGGGGAACACAGTGGGCTTCTTGTTCTGTGCCAGTTGATTTACCATCTCAAATATGTTGTTTAGTCTGAAGATGAGCCTCCGTGTGCCCTGGCGCTGGAAACAGTCTCTGGGGCCCTACAAGCTCTCCCCGCAGACAATCCCTAAAGCGGGCATCATCTCAGGGATCCTGCCTGAGTTATTAAAGAAAGGATTCCATATGTCTTCATAAGAAAAAAACTTGTTTTTTCATGCTGGGTCAGGCAAAGATTTTTTTTAGGATTATTTTTATTTATTTATACATACAAGACTTGGGGTACAGGCCAGAGGTGCAGGGCAGGGGTTGGGAGAGGATTCACCAGAGACAGATTGGGGAGCAGAACAGGTGGATCTACTGAAACACGCTGCTGAGGGGAGCAGCGGGGAGACAGGAGAGGTCTGCTGCACCATGTGGGTAGCTCCCTGGCCGGCTGGGGATTGAACTCGTGCTTCAGTGGCTGCGGACAGCTTCGTAGTGCGGTGTTTAACCCTTTGTGCCACCAGGGAGGTCTCCCAGGCAAAGATATTTTTAAAGTTATTCTTGAGAGCAACAAATGCCCATCATGCCAAGGAAAATGCCCCGGGACACCTCCCGTGGTCCTGTTCCCACTCCTGCCCGTTCCTTGTCTCCCGCATAGATGCTGTAGTGGCCCTGGGGTGGCACCCCACACACGCTCTGTCCTGTACCACCTTGATGGGCACAGGTCTCTAGCGGGGCGGGAGGCAGCTCACTGTGGTGTCTCTGTGCAGGGCACTGAGAGTTCGCAAGAAGATGTCTGGGGAGAAGATGCCTGTGAAGATGATCGGGGACATCCTGACCGCCCAGCTGCCGCACATGCAGCCCTACATCCGCTTCTGCAGCTGCCAGCTCAACGGGGCCGCCCTGATCCAGCAGAAGACCGACGAGGCTCCGGACTTCAAGGAGTTCGTCAAAGTAAGGACCCTGGCAGAGCCCCAGCAGCCAGCTTCAGCCAGTGGGGTGCCTGGGGGGCCAATTCAGAAGCCAGCAAGCCTGTTTCTGCTGCAGGCCAACAGGACCTGGGGCCGGGCCCAAGGACAGGGGCCTGACCCCTGCTGGCAGGCGTGTTTGTGGCCAAGGGCTGGGTGTGGAGGGCGGGCCAGCCCTTGCCCCGGAGCCTTGACATGTTTGTTGTTAAGGTGTTCGTGGTATTATTGGGATGCAGGTTTAAATCTTCCACCTGGTTGGCTGGGAAGGGCTGGTGGGTCACAGCCCTCCTGTTCTGTTTAGCCTGAGCACTGCCTGTTCTCTGCAGAGGGCAGGGTGCCCCACGCAGCCCTCGGTTCCCTTCCCAGTTGGTTCTCCTGGATGGGCTCAGCTTCTAGGCAATCCCTGGGGTGGGGTGAGGGTGTGGGCCTGGCCTGGCCTCTGCCTTAGGAGATTTTGGGGGTCTGGAGAGCCATGAGTACCCCAAGGGACATTTAGGAAGGTTGACCCATGGGGCTGGCCAGGAGGGGTCCCTGCAGGCCAAACCAGCCCCCTCAAATGACTCCCACCTCTCCCGGAGGAAAAAAATAGGAAGAGAGTAAAGTAACTTTTACCTAACAGGCACATTTTAATGAATAGGCAGCAAGATGGTGATGGTGATGATGGTGATTGTGATGATGATGATGATATGGTGATGATGGTGGTGATGATGATGACATGGTGATGATGGTGATGGTGACGGTGATGATGATGATGTGGCGATGATGCTGATAGTGGTGATGATGATGATGTGGTGATGATACTGATGGTGGTGATGATGATGATGTGGTGATGATGCTGATGGTGGTGATGATGATGATGTGGTGATGATGCTGATGGTGGTGATGATGATGATATGGTGATGATGATGATGGTGACGGTGATGATGATGATGATATGGTGATGATGCTGATGGTGATGGTGGTGATGATGATGATATGGTGATGATGCTGATGGTGGTGATGATGATGATGATATGGTGATGGTGGTGATGATGATGATATGGTGATGATGCTGATGGTGGTGATGATGATGATATGGTGATGATGCTGATGGTGGTGATGATGGTGATGATATGGTGATGGTGGTGATGATGATGGTGATGAAGATGCATCTTTGCACCACAGGCATTTGGGGGGCAATAATCGTGCTTGCTGAGTCATCATCCTGGGGTAAAAGTGCCACCTCCTTTTGGTGACACCTGTAGCTGTCCTCTCCATCCCTCTTCTCAATGGAAAATGCCTTGGCTTGCTAACCAATGAATGGGGTTCTCTAGAGTCATTCTAAGCAGGAAACGGGACTCAGTGGGATGGGATGAAGGGCAGGGGCTGTGCTGCCAGGTGTCGCCCCCCTGGGGTTTCAGCCCAGGCCCCCCGGCAGGATGAGCTCATCATCACTGGATGCGCTTGAGCTTAGCCTGGCCAGGGCAGGGGACTTGCGGCTCCTCCTCCCCTCCTGCCCTCCTCCCTTTCTCCTTTACTCCTCCCCTCCTTAAGATTTCATAAGAACATTAAAAAAAAATCTCATTTCAGAGGTTGGCCATGGACCCTCGGTGCAAAGGGATGCCCCTCTCTAGTTTTATACTGAAGCCCATGCAGCGGGTCACCAGATACCCCCTGATCATTAAAAATGTGAGTACTGTCTTGCCTCTCCAAGCAGAGGCCTGCTTCCTCAGCCCTGCGGGGCCGCGTCATGGCCAGCTCCCCGGCCAACACCCCTGGTGTCTGTTGTGCGGAAGTCACGTACCAACAGGCTATTAAACGCTTGTGCTTGGTGAGACAGAAAGAAGAGTCATATTACACCACCTGCCCTGGGCGACTCCCACCCCCCAGGTTGGAAAATCAGAACAGGCAGATGTACTGAAATCCACTGCTGAGGGGAGCAGCGGGCGAGGCAGGAGAGGTCTGCTGAGCCATGTGGGTCAGCTTCCTGGCCAGGGATCAAACTCATGCCGCAATGGCTGCAGATAGCTTCACAGTGCTGCGTCTTAACACTTTGCGCCACCAGGGAGGGCCCTATGTCTTGATTTTCTTAGCAAGAAATAAATGTCACTCAGAACACCATGTGAGACCTTTAGTGCTGATACTAGGTGATCGTTTTTTTCTGCTGTGACTTCAAGAAAATCAATGCCAAAGAAAAAGGGAAAAAATTAGAGTTTGGTGGTACCCACCTGTAAAATGAGTGAACAGATTCAGGAACCTTCCGAGCCCATAGGAGGTCACCACAGAGAGGCAGCGTCTGGAGAGGGATTTCGGACCTGGGTCCTTAGATGGAGAATTTTTGCTGCTATTGCCTCTGGGGCTGTCAAGGGCAGAGGCAGGAAATGTAAGTGTATGTCTGTCCCCCCCGCCACACACACACATGCGCACACATCTATGTTCGTGCAGATTTACAGGTATTCCTCGAGCAGCCTATGTCTGTTAATGTACACGTCGAGTTCACAGTGACCCTCCAATTGAAATCCAATACTACAGAATTTATTCTCAGCTTCCCTGTTCCTACACTTATCACTCCCTACTCTGTGTAGTTGTGCATGGACTCAGGAAAGAGACATTCTCTAGGGAGAAACCCATGTAGATGCATTACTGCCCTTGCTGTAGGCAATGCCCTCCTGCACCCCAAGAATAAATGATGTAGCACCCCCTGACCCCCAAGGGTACCCCACGAGGCATGGTCAGCTAAGTCACTGCCACAGTGAGTGCTCGGAGCGGCTCAGGAAGGACCAGGTCACCCCTGCCTCTGCTGGGCCCCTGCTGCGGGGTGGTCCACCCCAGCCCCCCTGCACTACCTGAGGCTGTTGTCTTCTGTCCTCTGCAGATTCTAGAAAACACCCCTGAAAACCACCCTGACCACAGCCACTTGAAGCACGCGCTGGAGAAGGCGGAGGAGCTGTGTTCCCAGGTGAACGAAGGTGTGCGGGAGAAGGAGAACTCGGACCGGCTGGAGTGGATTCAGGCCCACGTGCAGTGTGAGGGCCTGTCTGAGGTAGCGCCTGTGGAGGGGTGGGGGGTCCCCCAGCTGGGCCTCAGCAGCCAGCCTGAGGGGAGACGAGATCTCAGCCTCATCTTCCTCTCCACCTCAGCTTCTACTTCTTGCTGTGGTTGCTTGCCACCTGCTATGTAATCCAGCCATTGAGTATTTTATTTTGATGAGCATTGACCCTTGAACAGCACGGGCTTGAGCTGCCCAGCCTCACTGACCTACAGATATTCTCGCAATTCAAATGTTGTAAATGTATGATATTGATACAGTCCACTGCTATAAACCAATTTCTTTAAGATTTTCTTTTTTTTTTTAAGATTTATTTATTTATGCATACAAGAGCTGGGGTACAGGCCAGAGGTGTGGGGGGTGAGAGGATCCACCAGAGACAGAGCAGGGAACAGAACAGGCAGACTGAGTGAAATACACTGCTGAGGGGAGCAGCGGGTGAGACAGGAGAGGTCTGCTGCGCCATGTGGGTAGCTCCCTGGCCGGCCGGGGATTGAACTCGTGCTGCAGAGGCTGCAGACAGCTTCATAGTGCGGTGCTTAGCCCCTTGCGCCACCAGGGAGGCCCACTTTATGATTTTCTTAATAACATTTTCTTTTCTCTAGCTTACTTTAAGAGTAAACAGATAACACATATACGAAATATGTGTGTTGACTGTTTGCATTGTGTGTAAGGCTTCCCGCTGCAGGTTATTAGTTGTTATAAATTATTTGCTAATTTTTGACTAGAAGGGGCGCAGGAGCCCCTGACCCCGTGTTGTTCAAGGTCAGCTGTGTTCTTGTTTCCACTTCCAGCACATCTATTTATTTTCTCAAACCTGCTGCTTTCTTTCTTGTGTCTTTCTCCTAGCACAGTGTTTCTTTCTTGCATGTTTTTTCTTGTGATTTAAGCATATTCCTGTACATTTCAAATCTGATCATTCCAGTGTGGAAAGCTGTGGCTCCCACGCATGTGTGTCCCACCCGCTGGCTCTTTGTTTCTTTATATTCCACCTGCAAGTGAAATCACATTGTCTTTGTCCATATGCTTTAGTTCACTTAGTGCAATGCCTTCAAGGTCCTTCTGTGTTGTCACAAATGGCCAGAGTTCATCTTTTTTGTTGTTGTTAAAGATTTATTTATTTATGCACACAAGAGCTGGGGTACAGGCCAGAGATATGGGGGGTGAGAGGATTCACCAGAGCCAGAGTGGGGAACAGAACAGGCAGACTGACTGAAATCCACTGCTGAGGGGAGCAGCAGAGAGAGAGGAGAGGTCTGCTGCACCGTGTGGGTCAGCTCCCTGGCTGGTGATTGAACTCATACTGCAGTGACTGCTGAGTTAAGTGGTTAAGTGCTGAGACTTAACCACTTGTGCCACCAAATGGTTTCATCTTTTTGATTGCTGAGTAATATTCTGTTATCTATACACACCACATCTTCGTTATCCACACTCACTGTCTTTGGGCACTTAGCTTGTTCCATCACTGGGCTGTTGTGAATAGTGTTGCAGTGAACATAGGAGTGCAGAGACCCCTTCACATTAGTGTTTGGATTGATCCTTAGAGGTGGGACAGCTGGATCATACAATGGTTCTAGTTAATTTTTTTGAGGGGCCTCCCCAGTGGTGCAGCGGTTGAGTGCTGGGTTGCAAAGCTGCCGGCAGCCTCTGCGGCGCGGGTTCGATCCCCGGCTGCTCCCCGGCCACCGGAGGAGGGCCCCACATGGCGCGCAGACCTCTCCTGCCGCCCGCCGCTCCCCTCAGCAGTGTACTTCGGTCCTTCTGCCTGCTCTGCTCCCCGCTCTGGCTCTGGTGAATTCTCTCACCCTCCCGCGCTTCTGACTGTACCCAGTGCTTGTATAAACAAACAAACAAACAAATAAATAAATGAATAAAATACATGCCTCTTTAAAAATAAATAAATAAATATTTTTTTTTGAGGAACTTCCATACTGTTGTCCACAGTGGCTGCACCAATTTACATTCCCACTCACAGTGAATGAGGGCTCCCTTTTGCTGCACCCTTGCTAATACTTGTTTCATTATTTATTCATCTATTGGTCAATTATTTATTTATGCCATTCTCAAAATATGAGGTGCATTTCCCTAATAATAATGATGATGGACATTTTATCATGTACCTGCTGGCCCTCCACACGTGTATTCATGCAATGGGGGGTCTTGTCTTCTTCCAGTAATGACAGGGAGAAGAACAAGCATCACCCTGAGACACTAGCAGACCCTGAGGGTAGGAGCACTAGGAATGATGCCCAAACTCGTCTTGGTGCTCAGAACCCCAGGGACCCAATCCAGGGCTTCTGGGATGTGAAAGGCACTGCCTGGAATCTTCAGTCTTTAAGTGTCAGATGCAGACCAGACCCCAGGGAAGCCCAAGCTTCCAGATCAGAGAAACACACATCAAATCGACCTCCCTTCATCACCTCTCCTTGGCTTTTGTTTTCCTTTCTCAGCAACTTGTGTTCAACTCGGTGACCAACTGCCTAGGTCCACGCAAGTTTCTGCACAGCGGGAAGCTCTACAAGGCCAAGAGCAACAAGGAGCTGTATGGCTTCCTCTTCAACGACTTCCTCCTGCTCACCCAGATCATCAAGCCCCTGGGCTCCTCTGGCACCGACAAAGTCTTCAGCCCCAAATCCAACCTGCAGTATAAAATGTACAAAACTGTAAGTGTGAGTCCAGATTGCCATGTCAGGGCTGGTGTTTTGAGGAGAAGAGAGTTTCCAGGAGGCGCCAGATCACCCGCAGGGCCTGGGGACTGTGGTGTGGAGGAGCAGACAAAGGGGGTGAGCCAGGATTTAGGGAGCCCGCGGGGAGGGTGACCAGATCCCAGGGACTGGATCCCAGTGACCGCAGCTCAGTTACATCATGAAAGCAACGAGGTTCCATTCGCTTGATGGAACATCTAGGAGCTTCTATGTGCTGCTGAGGGGCCCCCCTGCTGTGAGCAAGGCCTCCCTTCTCTGTAGAGGCTCATGGCCAAGCGGGCAGGTGAGGCCGGCGTGGGAAGCCTGGGGCCAGGGCTCGAGCGGCCACCTTCGGACCTCCTCGGAGCACTCCCCAAGGGCAGCTGGGGAACGCGCGCGTGCTCGCCTTTCCAGCACCGAGCCGTCTAAACGCGGGCGCTCGAGGGCTTCCCTAGGTGTCAGTCTGTCTGTCTGCTCCTGTGCTCTCTGTCTGTCTGCTCCTGCTGGCGTGGCTGGGCTCGTGTGTCTTCATGTCACAGGATATTGTTGTTCGTAATTTGTCTCTATGGGGATGTTTTCACGGAATTTTTTCGGAAGCAGCAGTTAGCCTTATTTTGGGAAAAGAGAACACGGAGATTGATGCTGGCAACTTCGTAGGAAAATCTTTGGAGGGAATTGCTTGGTGGTAAATGGATAGAGTTTGCTGATTCGGGTTTGCAAAGGGGGAAAGAGAGGCCGGTTGTCCCGCGGCAACTGTGAATATGAACCGCAGCGGCAGGGCGGGAGTCCAGAGCGGTAATTTGCAGTACATGAAAGTTGGTATTAATGTAGAATCATTACTCTGGTGGAGTTTACTGGAACCCCCCCCCCTACACACACACACTCAGTTTTCTGGACCTTATAAACACATCAGCACACACGCATTCATGGTTTGCTGGAACACCGAGTTACCCAGTCTGGTTTTGTGATGCCTGTGCCTTATTTTTCAGCCTATTTTCCTAAACGAGGTTCTAGTAAAATTACCCACCGACCCGTCTGGGGACGAGCCCATCTTCCACATTTCCCACATTGACCGAGTCTACACCCTGCGAGCCGAAAGCATAAACGAAAGGTAAGACCAGCCCTGTCCCTGCCCTGGGCCGCCGGCTGCCGTCGGTGTAGACACACGCAAGGTGTGGAATTGACCAGCAGGCCCCAACCTCTCCCAGCTGCGTGGGGTGGATGCGGAAGGGTGAGACTTCTTCCTGCAGCCTCTCAGGAGCCGGGCACATCTGGGGATGAGCCCATCTTTCACATTTCCCCACGCCCGGCCCACTCAGCTGGTTCCTGGCCAGGTGTCCTGGGCTCCAGGGCTGCGGGTGTCTTGCTTCAGTTTTGTCTTCGAGACCCTGCTCTGCAGCCAGGTGAAATCAATTGTTTCCTGAAGGGTGATCTTGACCCAAAGTAAAGCACATTCCCCCACCAGCATTTGTGCCAAGCAAGAAACTGGCCAAAGCTACTGCGTTCGTGCTTCCAGGGCTAACCCTGGTGAAAGCCGCACAGCCGAGGGTGCCTGCTGGCTGGTGCCGGCGTCCCTGCCTGGGAGAGGGCCTGGCCTCCCTGGGGTGGCTCCTGAGAGATGGTCCTGGCTTCCCGGGCACGGACAGCTGTGTGCTCACTCCCTCCGGCGTCGCCTTTGTCCCCAACTGTCCCCTGGACACAGAGGCGGGTCTGAACACACCTGCAGACGGACCCCTTCTGCTTTCTCAGTCGCGGTGCCTGATAGAAAACTGGACTCACCCGAGTGTTCGTTGCTAAAAGCAAGCGGGCGATGTGGAGTCCCGGGGCCGGGATTCAAGCCACCCTGAAGGCTTCTCCTGAGTTCTGTCGGGCACCTTTCTGTCTTTTCCTTCCCAAGGACTGCCTGGGTGCAGAAAATCAAAGCCGCTTCTGAACTCTACATAGAGACGGAGAAAAAGAAGCGGGAGAAGGCGTACCTGGGTAATGCATTGCTCGGCGGCGTGGATGGTGGTTCCTGCAAAGCTGGGGCGCAGCGCCCTGTGGTTGGGCTCAGGATTCTTAGAGCTGGAACATGGGCCTGGAGGTAGAGGAGAGGTCTGAGAAGGGGCGGAGGCGGGGGGTGAGGGAGAGCGGGGTGCAGATGAGGGACGGAGGGCCCATCCAGGAGCAAGGAGGCCAGGGTTCAGGGAGAGGGGGGAGCAGGGGTCTGGCCCGGGGCAGGTAGGAGACGTGATCAGAGGCGGCCAGGCAGGGCCAGAGAGCACAGTCCGTGTAACCCCCCTGTGCTGTTCTCCCTGCCCTCCCAGTCCGTTCCCAAAGGGCCACAGGCATTGGAAGGTTGATGGTGAACGTTGTGGAAGGCATTGAGCTGAAGCCCTGCCGCTCGCACGGTAAGGCCCCGCGGAGCACGCTGGGGTGGAGAAGCCCCTTGGCCTGCCCGCCCCCCAGCTTTACACGAGGCGCTAGTTCCGCCATCCTGAATTCCTCCCAGCATGGATTATTCTAGCACTTGTTAAAAACCAAGAGTTAATTTTTTTTTTAATCCTTTCCACCGTCTTGCTTTTCGGTGTCACCTTTCACAGCGGGCACCAGGCCTCCGAAGGCGAGAGCCGGGAGCTGGGGGCTGGTGGAGGCCCCCTGGGTGCCCACCCTTCTCAGGATTTGTTCCATACGATGCTAAATTGTGGGTGGTTTTTTTTTTTTTTTTGGTAAGGCATGGTCTTCATCTTTTGTTTTTTTATAATAAATTTTATTTTTATATTCCCCATACAATTGCAACCCCCTTATTTTGACCCCAATCCCTCCCCTCCCCGCCCCCCACCCCCATAGAGTGTCTCTGGTTTATAGTTTTTTGTTGATTTTGATTTTCACTTTCTTATAGTTATTCATTTTCCTGGTCCCTTATTTAAGTTTTCTAGATTCCTGCTATGAGTGAGACCATCCGGTATTTTTCTTTTTCTTTCTGGCTTATTTCGCTGAGCATGATCCCTTCCAGCGCCATCCATGTTGCTGCAAATGGCATGTGTTTATCTTTTTTGAATGCTGAGTAATATTCCATGGTATATATGTACCACATCTTCTTGATCCAGTCATCTATTTTTGGGCATTTGGGTTGTTTCCAAAGCTTAGCTATTGTCAACAGAGCTGCTATAAACATAGGGGTGCAGGTGCTCTTTGGAATTGATGTTTCTGTGTCCTTTGGGTAAATACCTAGGAGTGGAATTGCTGGATCGTATGGAAGCTCTATGTTTAGTAGGTCCAGAAATCTCCACACAGCTCTCCATAGTGGTTGGACCAGTTTGCACTCCCACCAGCAGTGCAAGAGAGTTCCTTTTTCTCCACACTGTGGGTGTTTTTTTGCCTGGATCCTTCATTTTGTGTCACGTATTAAGTGTGGCAATGGGGGGATGGGATTGAGGGGCTTGGGGGTCTCATGCATGGCCAGGAGAGCCTGTGGCCAGGCAGGGGTCACCCGGCTCTGTTCGCCGCAGGGAAGAGTAACCCGTACTGCGAGGTGACCATGGGCTCCCAGTGTCACATCACCAAGACCATCCAGGACACTCTGAACCCTAAGTGGAACTCCAACTGCCAGTTCTTCATCAAAGACCTGGAGCAGGAGGTTCTCTGCATCACCGTGTTTGAGAGGGACCAGTTCTCTCCGGACGGTGAGTAGCACACCTGCCCCGGAGCCTCCCCCTTCCCTGCCGCTCGGCCTTCGTGGGCCCGTGTTTTTGATCTGGGAACTTGGCTCCCAGAATCCCCTGGGCTTCCAGGGGGCTGAGGTTGGCAAAGGACCAGCTTTGCCTCCCCTCAAAGGGAACCCTTGCCGGTCCCCGATCTCAGAGAAGGGGGCACTGATTAGTCCAGCTGGTTGAGGCAAAAAGTGGGGCCCTGTTCTTCCCCCGAAGCAGGTGACTCTGAATAAGGAGGCATAAGGACCCTCAGTCCTTTTGTCTTTGACCAAGAGTCACGGTCGCAGGGGATGAAACTGGTCAGATGAGCCAGGAAAATGTTAGCCCATAGCAGGGCGAGGACTCAGCCCTTGGGGTGGCCTTCCTGGCCTGCCAAAGGGATGGGGTTGTGTTGGGTGCATCATTCCTTCAGACAGCTTTCTGCTCCTGCCTTGAGCCGGGAGAGGACAGGTCTGGCCAACAATTGTGGGGAATTGTTGCTGAAAGTGTGTTTAAAGATTATGGTCAGAGAAGGATAATCGAGCGCTTGGGCGAGGGTCTAGTGAGCGGCGGACCGTGCAAGGCTCACGCAGCTCCCCCGGGCCTCTGTCTTGGCGGCTTTTGTAAGATGCGTCTCGCAGTGATTTGGGTGCTGCTGGTCACTGACCCGTCACCTGCCTGGCTCCGTGCTGGACTGCAGCCAGGGCAGTTTGACTGGCAGGCGAGTCTAGACTCTCACCGCTGTGTCGGGAGGTCAGTTGTTCTTCTGGTGAGTAAAGGTTTGAGGTTGGATTGGCTGTTTCTTTTATTTATTTATTTATTTATTTATTTATTTATTTATTTATCTATTTATTTATTTATTTATTTATCTATTCTTTAAATGATGAAGTAACTTGACACACTGATGATTCCTCTAAGGGGTAAGTTGAAAATCCTAGTGTTGCTTTGACATTAGCGATCACTTCTAACAAATGAGAATTGGAGCAAAAGAAACCTGGCTCCATCCACATTAGAAACAAGCCCAGGTTCGACAAGGGAGCCTGGAAAGAGGCTGTTTCCTATGCAGGAGCCCCTGGGTCAGCCACGCCAAAACCTCCTGTGTGTGCACCAGGGGCGGAAGCATCGGTCTTTGCATAGCGTTTAAAAAAGGTTCGAATACAGGCACAGCCATTCCCATGCTCAGTATTTGATTAATAAAAGTGGTGTTGAGGTTGCTCTGGGCGCCTTGCTGGAGGTCTGCGGCCCCTTTTCTTTTCACTCCATCCCGTCTCTCCCTCTGTCCCTCCTCCCTCTTAGCCCCAGAGCCCTCATTTACTTATTCAGGTTCCTAGTGTTTGCAGGCATTTGGCTTTGTCGGGTCATCTGCTGTGCAAATGTACTTGTCTTTGTCATTCTGCCTGGGCTGACCGCCTGTCATCCCCCCGCGCCCCCTCCACGTTGCTGTAAAAGGCCGCGTTTCGTCTTTCCTGCTGGCTGAATGGTAGCCACAGCGAGGAGAGACCGTGTCTTGTGATCCAGGCCTCCACTGTGGGCCCCTGGGCTGCCTCCACGCCCAGCTATTGCCGACATTGTGGAGTGTGTAGAGTTTTTGCATGGATGCTGCCACATCTCCGGCTCGACGCCCAGGAGTGGGGTGCTGGGCCACGCAGTGGCAGCACTTTGAGTTTTTTAAAGATGAACCCGGATCGCCTTCCCTAATGGCTGCACCGCCCACATCTTTCATGCCATGTAAAAAGTGTGCTCGGTCATGGTCGCGTGTGGATTCCCGAAAACGGACCCGGTCCCCTGCAGGAAGAAGGAAAAGTACAGAAGTAGTTCACTGGGGCCTTCCCAGCGAGCCCGAGACCTGTCCGGAAGAGAAGGCATTCCCGCCCTGAGCAGGTCTGTCTGTTCTCCTTTCAGATTTCTTGGGCAGGACGGAGATCCGCGTGGCCGACATCAAGAAGGACCAGGGTTCCAAGGGCCCGGTGACCAAGTGTCTCCTGCTGCACGAGGTCCCCACGGGCGAGATTGTGGTCCGTTTGGACCTGCAGTTGTTTGATGAGCCCTAGGGGAGCCGGAGGCGCTCGGCAGTCCCAGCCCCGGGCGGGTCTGTCTGCAGGTGTGGCCGCTTGTCTAAGATCGGCATCCCGTGTCTGGCCACAGGGCGACTGGACAGCGCAGACAGGCCTCTCGGAGCTTCCAGGAATCACTCTCGACAATCCACCCTCCGCCCTGATGACTTCCCGCGTTCAGAGACAAAGCTGTGTTTTCCTTTGTGTCCGTTGCTGGTCTCCTCACAGTTTCTGGGCTTCCGCTGGGAGCCTGGCCTACCCGGGGCTGGAGAACTGGGGCTGGTTATTGTACAATAGACTTACAAATGCAATGTCTGTATTTTTGAGCTCTCATGTTACCCTCCTATTTCTTACCTCTCCCAGCCCCACAGGTCAGCCCTTTGACCTCGGAGGCCCAGTTCTTCGTGTGTTTAGGACACAGGTGATGATCCAGTCATTGCTTCAGAATCTCATCCCCCTGCTGGGGCCTTATGAGACCCGCTGGCCTGGTGTGGACCCTCCGGGAGATGGTCTCTGGATCAGGCCCTGCGCTAGCTCTTGGAGTTGCTGGTCTGTGGAAGATTCCAGCAGGTGTTTTGTCAGAGCCATCCCAGTCCCTTCTTGGTCTTTTATTGATAGATGTCAATGCAAACAGTCACTGAGTACCCTGGGGTGATGCAGTCAGGACTCCCAGCATACCTGGGAGATGATTGGGGGGCCTGTTATCCACACTTTACTGGATCAGATCACCGTGAGTCACCCCAAGGATATTTCACCACAGGACTGGGTCCTGGTGGCCAGCCCAGGTGGAAAATCCTTTGGTCTGGGGGTCCTGTGCTGTTTATGGTGGCAACCAGCTCTGAGCCTGTTTTTGCATGAGCGAGCCTGGCTCAAGTGAGGTTCCTGAGTGTCCCGAAAGTTTTCAGGGGCTGTCTTTGGTACTGTCCCCCCCCCCGAAAGACTCCCCAAGTTGTGAAAAGGAAGAGTGACAATCTGGATGTGTGGAAAGCTGTGAAGAAAATCTATTATGGGGTTAGGAGAAGACCCCAGGAGCCGGCAAACCCCATGGGGGTGAGGAAAACCTGAGACTCTTGTCCCTACCCTGCCATACACAAACTACCTGTTGGTCAGGGACACACATATGCTGGTGGCCAGGGTCAGGGGTCACACCACATGCCAAGCTGATTGGTTTGAGTTCTTTGATTTTTTTTCCCTTAAATGCTAGGAGATAGGCTGGTTAACTAGACAATAACTTGATTTGCTAATGAAAAGTGTGGGTTGTCTTTCATTTGCATGTTAGTGTCTCATAATCCCAGTTTGCTGTGGCCATGAAAAGTCCTTTGCATGTTCTCTTGGTAGCGGAGTTTAGCCTTCCTGTGTTTGGTGGTGTTCTCTCTCACCGTAGGTCCTTAGACTTAGGGGTGTAGAAGTGCTTTCTCAATGGTAGCCTCAACACTGAGTAACCACTTTGGAGGAAACTGAATGCACAGTTGCGAGTGCCCATAAGAACCCAGTCCTATTGCAGGCAATTTTTAAAGTGTGTGTGTGTGTGTGTGTGTGTGTGTGTGTGTGTGTTGGAAAGGATAAAAAAGTTTACATTTCATACTTTTAAGAAACACCTTATTATTTATTTATTGATGATAGTGTAGAATTTTTGTATCAAGAACAACAGACATAAGTATTTTTTGAAACAAGCAGATACACCCTTTAGTTAGAAACTTTCAACTCGACCATCTAGACCAAGTTTAACTTCAGACTTGTGTTTGTTTACCCCTATCGAGCAGAAAACCTGGTGAAAATACTTTACGTTTATGTATTTTTTGATGTTGTGAAGATCCTTTTAAATTAAATCTATAAGTAGACATACAAGTCACCACCCTATTTCTATACCCAGTAGTTTGTGCAGTGTGTTCGTGACGGCCATGTCATCCTGGGAGGAAAATAAGTATGAAATGTGTAAGTGGGGTGGTAGCGGGTCACCATTCTGGTCTCTTTCTTTTGTTCCCTCTTTTCTTCGTTGTCTTTCTTCTTCTGTTATTGTTGGACGTCACTGCTCAATGGCGCCATGACAAACATCTTACAGCCCTTCTGCACCTGCTCCCATGTCACCCACACATAGAATCCCATTATGGGGATCTATGTACCTGTAAAAGCAACATGTGAGTCTTTTTTCCCAAGGGACTATCCCTGGGCATCTCAGGGACACTCCTCCAGGGTTGCGAATCTAGATCAATGTCCTTGACCCGACCCGTGTCGTTTCTAATGTGACCAGTGGTACCCAGGGGTGAGTTCGCCTGGCCCTCCAGGGATGGGGGCTGTGAGCTATGACTCAGGAGTCCTGATGGGGGACAGAGGAACGTGGGTGATGCATGGAACCTCCTGCTCTGACCCCTCTTCCTTCACTTCTACCTTTGGGGCTCCATTTCACTGAGAGGAAATGCCCCTTGCCGGTAAGGAATCCGCTGCCCAGCACTTGGCCTTCTCAGCCAAGTGCTTTCCGGGCCACTGCAACTGGCATTCTGAGCTCAGCTTCAGATGCCTTCTCCGCTGGCCACACCGAACCTCCTCTCACCTACGGAGGGTCTGTTCTGCTCCCAGGCGGCTCCCTGAGGACAGGTGCCCTGGGGCTGCCCTTCCTCCTGGCCCAGCTCCCCTTGGCCTCAGTCCTTACCCGGTCCCTCTGGGGTAGGCTTTCCCTGGCTGCCGGGGTCTCCCAGGAGGCAGGTAGAGCATTGTCTCTGTGTCACTCCAGGAGTGCTGTGAGCGTGGGTGGCTTGTTCACACCCAGGCTGGTCTGACTCTGGAAGAGGGACCTTTCTAGGCTAAAGCCACCCGGGACCTTGAGAAACCAGGGTCAATCTTTGAATAACAAGTCCCGAGCTGTTGATGGTGGAGGAGAGGCTGTGCTCCCAGGGGACAACCGAGCGGCCTTACTTTTCTTCTTGGCTTATTGAACAACCTAAGCATGACCCAAGTGTAGGAAAGCAATGGGTTCCATCTGGTTGAAATAGCACTGAGCATAACTGGAAAAAAAATCCCATCAGAAAATGAGCAAATTAGTCACTTGTATTGTCCTGTCTTGGTGACCTGAGGGCCAAGCCCCAGGGGTTCCCTGGGGTGGGAGCAGGTCGGAGCATTAGGTGCTGAAGCACTGGGGATGGATGGTGGCTGATCTGCCCTCCAAGACTGGCCAGGTCACCGTCTCTCCAGGATAGGGCTGGGGCAGCATAAAGCCATTGGCCCCACAGAGCAGAACATTCTAGAATCCCACAGTGGGTGGAGAATGGAGGAGGTGCTTCTTTTTTGGTGAGAAAGTTTGAGATCTTGAAGTATATTTCAGAGTTTGCCATTATTTGATAGGAAGAGAAAAAGACTTCACATTCTCTACTTCAAATGGCTTTTTTCCAATGATTGGGCCTTTTTGATTATAAGAAGAAAATTAGGATTGTGACTGTAACAACTTTAAGAAGTTCCTTTGGAGACAGCAAGTAGGACTTGCTTTATATTATTTTATGCCTCCTTCTCCGTGGGGGCTGGAGGTGAGCTCGACAGCAGACGCGAACGCTTTGACATGGGCACTGGCTGCTCGAGAGGTAGCAGGGTCATTTCAGACCTGCAGTTTGTGTGAGGTTAGAGATGGCTCCAGGTGCACTTGCTTTTCCTTTGTACATCATCCTGTGTCAGAAGTGAGGTGATGAAGACCGACAAGCCTGGAAGCACGTGTGGGCTTAGCTCCTACCACAGAAGCATCATCAGTAGCCAAAGACCAGTGGCAAGGTGAACCCTCATTATGCCCTGAGTGCCCTAAGTGGCATTTGGTAAAATACTAAAACTAACACCTTCTCTTTGCATCAGGGTTGTGAAAGCCAGCCAGGTGCTTCCCCTTTCTGCCAGGAACGGCCCAGGGCAGCTGCCAAGACTCACCTGGCTGTGTCCTGAGCCATGTTTTGTGGGAGCTGCTTGGTATTGTGTAAACATAGATGGAATGTGTATTGTATTTGGAAATCGTCAATTATTTCAACTAAAAGAAAAGAAAGTTCTAGAACTCCTGTTTCCTTACCCTGCATGGTATCAGATCCAGGATATGTTTGCTGGTCATGGGGCTCCATTGAGGTACGTAACCTGCTGTCTTTACATGTCAGAATCTATGCTATAGACACGGACACCTCTTCCACATGCAGGGTAGAAAACACCTGAGCGCTCTGTGCCCAGAAGCATTAGGTCCTGGATGCCAGCACTTTGCAAAGTCTCATCTCTGGGCCCAGCAGCATACTCAGCAGCACTGATGGTGTGTGGCTCATTCAGGGAACCCCATCCCGGGCCTGGGTACCTGTGGGGGCTGCCGTTGTGGCTTTCATGGCCTAGGTATAGATTATTTAGTAACACCTGCTGCTTATAAACATTCATCTGCACCCCCAAATAATTATTTCAGTTACACCCAGATTCAGTCAGTTCCTCCTTTAAAAGGAGCGCTCTTTATTCTGGCCTTGAAAACCAGATCATGCCCCTGTAAGAGTCGCTTTTTTCAATGCTACGTGCGGCTGTCATGTGTCAGGGTAAACCCCCCCACTGTATGTCAGGGTGTTTTGTGAGTCACGTTTTAATAGGATTCTGTTCTGCTTTCTATTCCAGCCTATCGTGTGAGCGTCATCTGAACAGTGTGACTATTTTAGTATTCAGTGCCCACCAAAATAGAACTGCTCAGCAGTGGGCATCCTTAGTCAGCCTTGAGAGAATTCAATGTTTCTCTAAATTTACGGAGAATCACCAGTAACCAGGGTTTCTTTTTACGCTGTGGTAGGAATGCATATTCTTTTTCTTCCAGAAACCTTGGTTTTGTACATTTTTCTTTTAAAAGAATAACATTCCTGTGTGGCTGTGTCTCTAAAACTATGCTCCTTTGCTTTTCTCCTCGTGTATACGCAAATCCCTCCTCTCCAGTCTGTGTCTAAGCAGAAGGGGGTGGAGGGCCAGGCGGGAGGCGCTGAGCAGGGCCAAGGCCGGGCGGCCTTTCAGGACCCAGGCGCGGCTCTTACCCGCCGTCTCCGCCAGGCCGCGCGCGCGGACACGGCCCAGGCCGCGGGCTCCACCTGAGGCCGCTGGGACGTGAGTCTGGGGCTCGTGGGAAGGACCCTGCAGGGGGGCTGAGACCCTGCAGGGCGCGGGGAGGGGTGCGGTGGAAGCTAGAGGAGGGCGAGGGCTGGAGCTCAGCGCCCCCCCGGGGACCTGATGCCACTTTGCCTCTCTGCTGCTGGGCTTGGAGCTGAACTGGGGTCCTCAGCCTGGCCCCTGCTTCGGGGTGACCCTTGAGATGGGGAGTCCAACCACCTCGGGTGTGAGTGAGGTCTCCCCCCTGCGGAGTCCACCGTGGAGCTGGCTGGCCAGGGGTTCTAGACAGGGGTCAGGTCCCCTCCACCCGGCGGCGGGAGAGTCCCCTGGGAGGCTGACTTCTGGGAGGGGAGGCAGAGCTCGTTGTGTGTGTGTGTGTGTGTGTGTGAGTGTGAGTGTGTCTTGTCTGTGTTGTTTGTGTGCTAGTGTGTGTGAGTGGGTGTGTTGTGTGTTAGCATGTGTGTGAGTGTAGGAGCCCCCGTGTGAGAGCGTGCGCCGTGTGTGTTGTGTGTGTGTTGTGTGTGTGTCTGCGTGCACACCAGGGAATGAGCGGCTCTGCGGACTGAACCGGAAACAGGGAGGTGGGGGGCCTGGCCCCGGGTCACCCTCGGGACCTGCTACAGAATGAAAATTCAAAGCTCCTTGTTCAAAATTATAAGGAATTTTGAGGTGGTGCCAGCAGAGACTTCAACCCGAGCGGCCCTCCCAAGTCAGGGTCCCCTGCGCGGGCAGAGGCCGCCCCCCCCTGAGGCCGCCCTGCTCCCACTGTTTTCCGTGGGGGCGCCAAGCGGCGGGCGGTGGCCGCCTCTGCTGGGTGGGAGCCGCCTGCGGGCTGGGAGTTTGCGGGGCGCGGGCAGCGGACTGCTCAGAGGCCTCCCCTCTGCCAAAGCACAAAGGGCCCGGAGCAGAGAGAGGGGACGGGGCCGAGGGTCCAAGTGGCTCCTTGAGAGCGCAGGGCCCGGGGAGGGGGCTGCCTACCTGTTTCTGGGCCCCCAATCCGGGTGGGCCTCCAGGGGCCTCCAGGTCTTTGAGGCTTTGCCCCTAACCCACTGGGCTGTGGCCGTTGGCCACCACATGGGGCTTCTCCCCGTCATGGGAAGACAGGAGGCTTTTCCAGCCTCGGGCTGCAAGGTGACATCCGGGTGGCAGAACAGGAAGCTGGGGGTGCAGTGGGGGAAGGGGCAGCGCCTCCTTGCCCGGTCCGGAGTTTGCTTCCTCTCTGCCCTGGAGGCAGGGCTGGGGCAACTGCCTTCTGGCCCCGCTGGACCAAGTGGTGCCCCTGAGAACAGCAACTTCCCAGCGGGGCCCCCGGACCCCACTTGTGGCTCTAAGGTGTGCAGGGTGATGTTAGGGGAGAGCAAAGATGCCGCGGTGGGAGCCTTGAGTTCTAGAAGTTCCAGGAGGCCGTCCGTGGGGCCCAGCCCCTGCCCTGCCTTGTCACTTGCTTCCCGAGCTGCTTCTCCCAGCGGGCAGGAAGCCCCCAAACCTTGGCAGTTACTCCTGCAAATCCGTCTCGTTTCTACACGCTCAGCGCGAGCCTGCTTCCCGTGTGTCCCGGGCTTGGAAAGCTTGCTCGGCAAAATCAACGCCAGAAAGATGAGCCGAGATTGCGCCATCATCCTGTGTGGCTTGAAGGGTCACTGTGAAGGTCACTTTGTTTCTGTGTCTACCCCAACCAACTGCAGGTCCCGAGGTGTTTGCTGGAGGCTTTGCATGAACGTGCCCGCCCTTCATGGGTGAATGTTTTGATGACCATTGCACCAGTCACATCCTTAACATGTCGTCTGCTAACTAGTCATGGTGTCGGAAAGTAGACATTCTAGCAAGATCCTGGCGAAGGCTATTTATTCTCATACGTGCGTTGAAAACATGCCTGGCCCACAGCGCAAGGGCCTTTGAACTGTGAAACCAACCTCAGATCTTGGTCCCTGAGTCTATCCCTTCTGCTCCCCCCTACACTTTGTCACCCATGTAGCGACAGTGGGCACCATGCTGTTTTCCTGCTGTGCTGCCTCCATCAGCTTTGCGCCTGCACACCTGTGGGTGGCCGACGTTGTGTGAGTCCGCGTTTCCTGGTGGGAATCTGCAACAAAAACGCCCTGTGTGATCATCCGTTTTCAGCTTTTGCTTTCTGCATTTTTGGTGGCCCCCAAGCTAAGAAAAATGCAGAAATCCACCACATGAAGTGAAAAGCGGTGCTCCTGAGGGTTTGTGGGGCGCTCTCTGCTGTGTGTTCCTGGGGGCGGCTGCGATGATTGAGTCCGTGCTCTGTCTGAAGCTGTGCTGCAACTGTGGCATTAACTAACACAGATCCTGTAGTCAAAAATATTTAACTTGTTATTGTAAAATGTGATTTGTCATTGAGAGATTATTTTTCTGTATGTATATGAGAATATTTTAGGAATCTAATTTAAGTGCATAAAACTATAGAAAAATTAAAAACCTATTCTAGGAGTAGACAATGCTTGATCAGATTATTTGGGTTCAACCCAACTAAATTTCTTTATATATATATATATATATAATATATATATATATATATATATATATATATATATATAAATCCAAGTTGCATATGTTAGAAATTCAAAGAAGTTATTCCCCCAGCCCCTGCTGCCCCCACAGGGAATGTGATAAATTTAAATGAAAAGGGAGGTGGTGTGATAAGATGAGACGTACCCTCCAGCCAGAGCCCTGGGTGAGACTTGGTGTTTCATTCAAAACTGATGTAAGCAGGTGACATATTCTGGAGGTGGCTGTGCCAGGGAGGGCAAGAGGACTGAGGCCGTGTTGCTTGTCAGATCTGGGTGTCACACAAGTTTCTGGAGGTCCAGTGGGCGGGTCAGGAATCTGGGCCTGACCCAGCCTTTCTACAGAGCTCTGAAAGTGGAAGGGAGGCCCCCTGACTCGTGGGTCACCTTTGTAGTTCTGGCTTTGGAGAGACTCTGGAGTCTGCATTTTCAATGAAATTTTCTGGGGGCATCTTCACTGCCTTCCCCTGTTGTGCTGCTGGGGGGTGGGGGCTGAAGGACGGTGTTCTGGTTTCTGGGGTGAACTTTCTGTGCACACAACACAGGCAGCCCAGAGCAACCTCCTGGGTACCTGCGTCCCTGATGTCTCACCTGAGGGCAGGAGACTGCCCCTTGCTTCCCAAGAAGCCCAGGCTTCTTCTGGGGTACAGGCTGTCTACACTCAACCCCTGCCCCCAGTCCCTGTAGGCCACGTAGGGGGGATGGAATGCAGCACCCCATGAAACTCAATATCTAAACTCCAAGAGTCCAGCCTCCCCTGGCAGGCCTGAAATAATGCAACAGAGAAAACAGCCAGTCCCTGGAGAGATGGGACATGGCCGAGGGTGGCCGTGTGGGGACACTGAGGGTTATGGCTTGAGGGGACACACAGGGAGGGTGAGCGTTAGGTTTTCAAGCACCACGTGCTTCTAGATGCTGCCAAGCTCCTTTATGATGGCCTTGAAATTGGTTGATGCTGAAATCTAAGGGGGGAGATGTGATTTCTAGAAACTTCCCTGAATCATACAAGTGATCAGCAAATCCTGTCAAGGAACTGTCCACATGGACTGTAACTGACTTTGTCCCTCAAGAGGAAGCCACTTAGAGGTCTCGTTCAAGCTGATCGGGGTGGGCATCCCTCACCACCAGCACTGGTAGGTAAATCCTCCCACCAGCAGAGGCCCCACACTTCCTCCTGAGCCCCACGCCTCTTGCCTGGGGTCGGGGGAGCACTGTGCATGGGGACGGGTAGTCAGTCAATTGCCCCCTGGGTCCTGGTTGTTCCAAGAAAGTTTGGAGACAAGAAAAACCAGAACAGGGCGCTCCTGCCCAGCAGTGCCTGTGAGCCGCTCCAGCTAGCCTTTGCCTGTTTGGAAAAGAATGTACCAATCCTGACCGAGCCCCTCGCGTGACAAATGGGCCACAGGCTGCCCTTCGCAGCCCTGCCCAGGGGTGGGCTGAGCATCCCCGCCCCCTGGATGTCCTGTTGTCTGTAACATACTTCTGTTGCCAAATAATGGTATTTAATTTTCCATAAAAGGGAGACTATATTGTCTGATATGTAATGTCAATGGAGTTCTAAAAATTACTATACAGTACTATCAATTGTAGAATTATGTATTTGTCCAAGGTTTAATGAAGCAGGGCCAAAATGTTGTTCCTTATTTTGTTTAAAAGAAGCTGAGGTTAGTTTTGTTGTTTGAGTATTCCTTTGGCACCTTATTATGTGTGAAATGTCAAATTTTACTGATTCAGATGATGGTATCTGAGGTTTTTTTTTTTCTCTCTTTAAACCAGTAGCAACAGCAGTACAAATTGCTATTCCTGTGTATCTTGAACCTAAAAAGAACAATCTGTTCAGAACAATTCTTTGGTCATTTTGACCTGTACGGTTTAAATCCACATAGTTCATGAATAAAACAAGAAAAGCCAACACGCTTCAGTGGGTTCTGTCACGTCCTCTGGCCCACCTCCTTTCTGAGCAGAAAGGAAATGACTGGCCCTATTAATGGCCTCTCTTCCTGTGCGTCTCCCTCGCCCACAAATAAGGCTACAATTGTAGAAGGAAAACTATGCAAAAATAAACTGAAAAAGCAAACCTAACTAGCAATGCTTCCAGTTCTCTCAGGCCTCCTCCAGACATCGTCAGTCCTCACAAGACGTCCATTTCCCTGAAGCAAGTTCTGCGAATCTGAGCAGTTTTGCTTGTATTAGTGTTACAGGGCAACCCCCATATAAAATGGGTTGCCTGACTGTGGGTCCTCACCTGCACCCTTAGAGAGGGGACTTAAACTGCAGGCACACACAAAAGGTTAATCAAAGGTTTATTTACAAGGAAAGGGGAAATAAGGAAATGAATAACTCAGTGAGAAAAGGAGGGAGATAAATTCTTAAATGCGTCCTACCCGTTCCACTGATCTGGAATCCCAAATGACCTACCAAGACCAAGTGCTGCCTGGCCAAGAGCATGACCCCTACTCACATGGCTGGTTAAATATCCAAAACAGAGAACATGGCTGCTTAACTCCACCCTCGGGTCCTCGCAACTCTCCCTTTGGTGATTATGGGATTTGTAGTTCCTAGTGTCTTGATAGAGTGGCGGTGGAGTCCACAAAGCCTGTATGGCGTTTTCTCAGGACATCCTTTCCCTCTAACATTAGGAGTGCCAGGTGGGGAGAGAGGAGCAGACAAAGACATCCAAAGGATTCCCCGACCTTCCACCAAGAAGCTCCCAACACGCAACTTGTCTTTTAACTCCGGGTACTGTTAGCAAGCCCAGCACTAAATGTTAGTGAATAATGTATAGCTTTTTTCTTCTGTTCTCATCATTGATTTATCCCCCCATCTCATCTTTCTTCTAGCCGAAAAAGTCCTTTAAATTCTCCGGTTAACCTGGAAACCAGTTGAATTATTTGGGCATGTTACAAAAAACTGCCCTAGAGCAGTTGATCTTTGCCCTCTATGACACTGGCTGGACTCCACTTTTGGCAATCATCAAAATCTTACATCATTTTCTTGGTTGTTATTTGAAGTCTTAAAAACAAAACAAATGTCATCCAAAATAAAGAAAATAAGAAATTCCTTTCCCCAAATGACATCTACTTCTTTCCAGGGTGGACAAGGCCGCCTGTCCACAGCTCAGGAGGCCGAAGGAATGACTGACATACCCAGATTACCAAGTCAGCAGGCGATGCTTTATTCTATATTGTTTCTCCTTTCATTGTAGACGCAGTAACACTTTGTATGCAGGAAATTCAGCAGGCACAGAAAAATACAAGGAAATACATCACTTCATGGATTCTTTCACACAGAAATAAATGCCAGTGCTTTGATGCCCATCATTTTGTATTTTTTTGTGTGGGGTGTGCATTTTAGATACTCTCGTGTTGTTTAATAGTGGATAGGCCTTGATCTCTTCCCATATGCTAGGCCCTGCTCGATTACATGATTTGCAGACACATTTCACATATTTTGATGGCGTTCTTTTTTTTTTTTAAATAATAAATTTTATTTTTATATTCCCCATACAATTGCAACCCCCTTATTTTGACCCCAATCCCTCCCCTCCCGCCCTCTACCTCCCATAGAGGTCTCTGGTTCATAGTTTTTTGTTGATTTTGATTTTCACTTTCTTATAGTTATTCATTTTCCTGGTCCCTTATTTAAGTTTTCTAGATTCCTGCTATGAGTGAGACCATCCGGTATTTTTCTTTTTCTTTCTGGCTTATTTTGCTGAGCATGATCCCTTCCAGCGCCTTGATGGCGTTCTTTTAAATCAGGTAGATATATATTCTTCCACAACTTTAAAGGACTGTATAGTACTCCATTGTCTGAATGCCTCCTAGTTTACCCTGATTTATTTAAACTGTCCTAACTAGTTACCTGCTTAGGTTGCTTTTAAAATTTCTACCTTGTTAAGAAATGCTGTGAAGAGTCTTTCTGTACACACATCTCTGGGGTGAACACTGGTGGCCGCCCCATATGGCAGGGCTGGAAGCCTTTCATCATCCCTCCCCGACACCCTCAATTGCTAACAGGGAGGCTATTGAATTAGATTCTGAGGGGCCATATTGGAGCAAGAGGGCTCCCCCAAAGGTATTTGGTTTTTCTGCAGTCTTACCTGGGAAGCAAGTGATTTTATAGGGATTTATAAGCATGTGGGGCCCTGTCCAGGCCAGTGTGGCCCTGGCGGCTTTAGGAGGCCAGCAGGAGGGTGGCCATGGAGTCTGGCGGATCCTGGAGTATGGTCAGGTTACAGGCTCAGCTGCTGCAACTTAGAGAGCCCTCGTCCCGTGGCTCAAGGAGAGTGGTTTCTCTCCTGTTAATCAGCTCAGAGACCTAAGCACAGCCGGGCGAGTTTGCCCTTAAATTCATTTGGTTTTCTCCTGGAGCGTGGCTGCTCCAACTCCACCTCCCCCACCTCGCCTGCGTGTAACCACGGCCAAGAGGATGGCACGTGATTCCTTGTGAGGCCAGTCCCGGAAGGCCAGGCCTTGTCTGCTCCACCAATTGCAAGAACTTGGTCCAGGGCCAGCTGCTGCCTGACAGGTGGGTAAATGTAAATGTACTCTTGGGGAGCCCCTGTGCATATTGGGGTGGAGCTGCAGTCTGGCAAACCCTGTTTCCTGGATAAGGAGGCACCCCCAAAGGTACCTCTGCCAGTCCCCGTGTTAGGTCATGGAGTGGGCATGGTGGGACGCTGGAGGCTGTCGAGCCTGTACCCCACATTTGGAGACGTTTTTCTATCTGGGAGGCCTGTACTAAGCTCTCTGTAATCTCAAGTCTGCTCTGGAAGTGGGATAGTTCCACTTATGGGAGAGGAAACGAGGTCTGAGGTTGGCTACATTGCAGGCTGGAAGCGATGGGGTAGGATTGCTCCCCTCACCCCTACCCTGCTGGCCCCAAGATCCCTGCTTTCCATCCTGTCACTGGGTGTGGGAGACATCACGGCAGGTCAGAGTCACGCTCTTCCTTATGGAATTTTCTGGCAGCTTGGAGACAGTGCATGTGGCAGTGGCTGGCCTGGCTGCATGTTGAATGGACTCTGTAGGGGGGCTCTTAACCTCCCCCAGGGCATCCTCCAAACGCAATTACAGTGATCCCTATGGCTGCAGAGGCTCTGGTCCGCTCCCCCCCCCCCCCCCCCGAGTGCAGTGGCCCACCTGTCCCAGGTTAAGTGTGAGGAATCTTTCCTGGCAGCTTTAGGGTAATTATCAGAGAAGCAGAAAGGTTGATTTCCTTTGGGTTTGGCTCCAGCCTATGCCGCCTCCAGCCTGAGGATTGACTGGAAAAGGTGGGGGGGCCTGAGGGCACCGTGTTCCCTTCTCTGGAATAGCTGCTTCCAGTGGGGAAGAACATCAGGAGTTCCTGTTCTGGCAGAAGTTCCTGGCCTGCCTTGGTGCCCAGGATACCCCCAGGGAGTGCGACAGCATGCTGGGGACCTATTTGGCTACCTCCTCTTCTAAGCACAGTCTCCTCCTGGACCTTTGCCCCAACTGGGGCTGAATGAGTGCTTGTCAGCTGTTTTAACTGCTTCGTCTAGATTCTGTGGATACTAGAATAGAGACTTTTTGGGCAGAAGCTCCCTGAAAGCCATGCTGTTTTATTGGGGTGTCTGGAGGGCAGGCCTGAAAGACATCACTTTGGGTTCAGAACAAGGACAATGCACGGGACAAAGACGTGTGAGAGCAGCCCCACGAGCACAGACCCAGAACACCTGACCAATACTTGCTCTTAAGGGCATGCGGTGGGGCTTGGGCCTCAAACAGCAGCAGCGAATTGAAAAGCAGCTGCCATCCCAGACTGGGCAGGTTCATTGTTGATTCAGGCAGACAAGAATTTGAGACTTCGGTATCTCTAAGAGGCCTTTAATGCTTTATCAGTGGACTGGACTCACAGGCAGAGCAGCAGGCAGGGAGGCAGCAACTGAGCCCACCTAGCCCCCTCGACTCTCCCTTGAGCCCTCGTCTGCCCAGGTGGCCGTGTTTACCTACGTGCAGGCCTCGCGTTCTCTGGCCTTTCTCTGGGTCTCCCGCTCTCTTGGCCGGGGCATCTGCCCTTGTAAGTATGCGTGCCGCGTGCTCGTGCCCCCAAGTGCTTGCTGCACAAACACAACGTCGCGTGTGGGCAATAGAGCCTGGAGGGCGAGGCCGCAGGTGGCAGCCGTGGAGGCCCGCGGCAGGACCCGCCCCCAGGGAAGTGAGGTAAGAGATGATAAACCAGCCCGGCATGAAACGAGGCCTCAGTGATGTTAACTATTTTTCCTAATGGACACAAGCTTCCAGATTCCTCAGAATAATCTACACGAACGACAAAAGTGCTTTGCTTTTTGACCTTGAAAGTAGGAGAACACTGGAAGATATAAAAGTAAGGCTTCCTGGGTTTCTTCAAGAGAGCACACACGGTGTGTTCTGTTCAGGAAGCGCTTTATTGTTGCTCCAAGTTTAGAATTTCACGGAGACAGAGCGGCACTTTCAGACGGTCTCCCGCATCACCTTGCTCAGCTTCTGAATCTTGGTTTTTGCCGACATATCCACATACTTTTCTCCAATGCGGACAATCATTCCACCCATGATGGATGGGTCAGTCTAAGAAAGAAAATAGGTTGAAGACATGAACACACACCCAGACACGCCACCAATCTAACAGAAAGACGAGCGCATGACAGAAGACAAGGCACATCTAGAAAAGGCAGAAGTCTATTTGTGAATGGAATCAGTAATAAAAACAAAACTTCATATAAAATTTCGACTGCAGGTAAATCACTACACGGCGAGATCCCAATTTTTACTTTCAATAGCCATTTTAAGTGTCGAATAACCCGAGGAGACACCATATATAATTAAAAACTTACCTTCACTTCCAACTTCAACACTTGGTTTTTACTTAGGAAGCTCTTCAGGACGGTTTTTAATTCAGTAAGAGTGGCTTCATCTAAAGGCTAAGAAGACAAAATTGTCCTTTAGATAAAGCAAAATAGAAATTTTCCATAACAAAGAGGAAGGGGGAAAAATCCCACCAGCACACGTCACCGCCACAGGCCTGCACCAGCTCCTGGGAGCCAGCCAGGGGCGGCAGCGCATGCATCCCCAGGCAGCTCACCCGTCTCTGCTTCTGAGTGCAACTCAGGAGTGGAAAAGTCCCAGGAGGTCTGTGAGGCCCGAGGACGCCGCCCGCCTCTGTGCAGCCTGTGTGAGTCTATTACTTCCTTGGACAAGAGGCTGCAGCTTAACCTGGTTCTAGAACCACCAGGCTGTGACAAACCATCTGCCCTGGAGCACTCGGAAGCCGGGGCAGCCGGCTGAGCCCTGAAGCCACGTGGTGATGGGGCAGGACCCCACGCCTGGCCTGTGTCCTCTCCACTTGCCCCAACTGTTTCTTCATTAGGTGAGAATGAAAAAGGCCTTTGATCTGCCCCAGTTCTACCTCCCTAACCTCACCTGAGCACCCAAAAGCTAGCAAAAAGAAACCTTTACAGGGCCTCCCCGGTGGCGCAGCGGTTGAGTGCTGGGTTGCGAAGCTGCCCGCAGCCTCTGCAGCGCCGGTTCGATCCCGGCTGCTCCCCGGCCACCGGAGGAGGGTCCCACATGGCGCGCAGACCTCTCCTGCCGCCCGCTGCTCCCCTCAGCAGTGTACTTCGGTCCTTCTGCCTGCTCTGCTCCCCGCTCTGGCTCTGGTGAATTCTCCCACCCTCCCGCGTTTCTGACTGCACCCAGTGCTTGTAGAAATAAATCTTTAAAAGAAACAAAAACAAAAACAAAAAACTGAACTCAGAAAAGAATATTTAAAAAAAAAAAAAAACCTTTACAAAGATCGAACAGTATCTTTTGGGGGTGGTGGAGGGAACGCCAATCAGAGCATTGTTTGCTGAGATTCCAAGGTCAGCGCACGCATGTCCTGTTCAGATACCTGAAGTGGGTATCTTACACCAACCGGTTCCTTCGCTGGCCAAGCCCAGGAGGCCAGCAGTGATTACCCCTGTTGCCCGTGAGGGAACTGGGTGAACCGCTCAGAATGGTCAAGAAACTCACGTGAGGACCCAAGAGCCAGCGAGGACCAGCGCCGACACCAGAAATCAGTCTATTTCTCAAGTTTGTGCCTTTCTCCCCAATCAACGTATAATTTTTTTAAATAGTGGAAACTTATTTACTCAGTTTCAACACCAAAAGCATTAGCATCAGTTTGTTCTAAAAAGGTTTACAAAGACAAGTATTCCTTGGAAAACAAAAAACAAAACCCTGTCCTGTCATCAGTGAAGAAGGACCTGCAGGGGCTCTGGGGACAGAGTGACCGCGTGGCCGCTGAAGCCTGGTCTGAGCTGTGATGACTTTCAGCCAGGTCAATGCTTTGGGGGGTGGGGCACTGACTTCTCAACCTCAAATGGGCAAATATATATTATGTGCAGAAATGCCTCAAATTGCTCTTCTGGAGAGCTAACTCTTTTATACACACTGAAAATATTCATCTAGGTGAGTCAGCTGCTGGTATTCCTAGTCAGTCTACTTTGCCCTACTGATAAGGAAGCCCCCCCAGACCGCCTGCCTCTACTGACGACCACACTAGAAGAAGATGCACATTTAAGGCAGGCAGGCAGGCAGGCAGGCGGTGGATGTAGCTCAAGGAACACAGACTTCTGGAGAGAAACTTGTGTTCAGACGTGGCTCCACCTTTTGGGACCTTGAACAGAGACTTACTTTCCTTGGGTTTTCATTTCCTCATCTATAAAATAAGGATAGTTATTCTTCACGTGGATTTTTTGATATGAAATAAATTATAAAGTGCTAGTAAACAGGTTTCAATAAGTAGTGGCCGTTATTCCCGCCGACCACGGTAAGTCAGAGATCAAAGGGCCGGACTGCTCCCTACTCCCCACTACAGAAGCTCCTAGAGACTCTCGTTTCAGTTAACTACTGAATAGCTAATCACAAAATAGCTCAAACCCATCGGAACATAAACCACCGCTTCCTGACACGTTCTGGCGAGTTATACGTCTGACTCCAGAATCAGTCCTCCTGAACAAAAGCGGGCCCTCCCAAAAAGGAGCTCGGGAAGCTGGTGCGAGAAAGAAGCTAACCTCCCACACGCCAAGTCACCTTTCCTAATTTCTGCATATTCAGCCTGCTTTCCCCTTTGTTTTGCAAAATGTGACATGTGGACTGTCAAGGCAAAGGCCGCACCGCCAGCGTTACTCACAGATGCGGTGGTCACCGTGCAGGGCACTTCTCCACGGTGGACACTCATCATGGTAGAAAAGGCAGAGATGATGGCAGGGGTGTTGTTCAAACGGCCGTTTTCAGCAAGCAAATCTGGGAAAAGGCAGGGGCCTCAGTGACGGGAAATTCATTCATGATAGATTATTCACCTGGTATTCTTGTCACCTCTAGAGCAAATTGGGGATACTGGCCTAAAACACTGCCTTCAATGTCCTTTGCGAATGTGGGTGCAGGAGATAAAGCTTGTTATTTAAAAAGTATAGTCAATATTTAAAAAAATACCCTGCACTGACAAGTGTTTAAATTAGTAACAGATCCGCAACAGATGTCCTGTACACAGCCTGCAATCTGATTTTCATGCTTATGTCACAAATTCCAATGTTTGGCTACAAATTCCCAAATTAACATCCAAAGATGTATATCCAAAGATGGTGACGTGAAGATAATTTCTTTGTAACTCATGTGCTCAGCTGCCCATGGGGGTGTGAACGTGATCTAAAGGTCCCCAAGGACGCCACATCCCTAAGATGGAGGCACGACCATTACCGGGCGCCAGCCTGCGGGTCTCCCCGCTGCAACTCCAGCAACCACTTAGAGCTTCATGTTTTTACACAGTGCACCTCAAGCGTTAATGTGCAAACCGTTCACGTGGGGCTGGTTAAGAAGTAGGTTCTTGATTTGCAGGTTGGGGTGAGTCCTGAGGCTCTCCAGGTCAACAGGTTTCTGGGTGATGTGGCTGCTCCTGGTCCAGGGACCATTCTTCCAGTAGTAACATTTTCTGAGTCTTCAAGTGCAAAAGGTCTTATACTTACTAATCAGGTTGGCCGTGAGGGGAGAAAACTTCTCTTTTGCTGTCATGTCATTCAGACTCTTCACTTTAATGGATCGCTTCACATGGGGATTCAGAATGGAAGCAGCCATCTTCGGTTCCTTCAAGAGTTGCTAAATGCACCAGAAAATAGTTTCTTAAACTCTGTAGAGCACAATGACCTTAGCTGCCATACACACATTCTTCACACATGCTTGTGAAGCATGCAGTCCAGGAAGTAAATCAGCACTCTCAAAGCATGAATGAGTAACAGTTTCTAATCAAATAATTTCCTCTGTCTTGCATGATTTTACACAGGACACAGACTGTTTCTTGAAAAAAATCTTAAAACGTTTTATAAGGTTTCTTAAATTTATTTTTGCTCTTCAAGAAAGATTATAGAAAAATGAAGTGTCTAAAAGCATCAATCACTGCCTGTCTCAATGGACTGAGTATGGCCAACACTCCAGCTTTCCAAAAACAGAGAAGACGCAGTGGAGCCAACACTCAAGCGCAGACCCAGGAAAGAGCTGTGACTGCCGAAGGGACCTGCCTCCCCCAGAGGCAGCTCCAGCTCAGGGTCATTCTGACTGTCTGCAGAACCCACCCAGCCCTGTGAGACATATCTAGGCAGCCTCAATGAGCCTGGGAGAGCTGACAAAAGCAAGTGATCACCCTCATGAGACCACTTGGACCCTGCTGTTAACCAGACGTCTGGACCCAGCGCAAAGCGCAGCTTCCAGCACTTTGTTTCCCACAACAGCAGGCTGGCTGGAGTGCCTTGAACCAGGCCTAGCTTCAACTTGGGCATCTCCGACTTTACACACCTCTGGTGCCCTTCCATTCCTGTCAGCACCTTTTCCCAGGCTGGAATTCTGTCTCTGATTCAAGCTGTTGCCATACATGCCACGTGATGCTAAAAGTTCCACTGGAGTGGCATCACAGAAACATTTTTCCATAAAAATAGCAGGTCTATACAAATTAAAAGCATTCTGGATTGTGTGTTATTCTATTTCTTATCTGTTGCTGCTACATCACCCAGGTCGGTTAGCACCGCACTTTCTGTGCTAAGAAATAGCTAATTTTTATTCAAGTCAACCCTCTGTGTCTCCACATCTTAACTGACCTGTAGGCTTCAGTCAAACCCCATCTAATGTCCACAACCCAGGTCATCCTGCTGTTGCAAGCACCACTGTCCAGGTTTAAAATGGGCAAGGATGACAAGTAAAGGGCAATGACTGTCACCCCTCCCCAAATGCCTGGAAACTGCCTGGCTCTTGCCACCCCTGCTTCCTACCAGCATCAGTGAGGCTGAGCCTCCTGGCTGTGTGAGAATAAGACTAAGACAGCAAGCATTATCCGCCGAGACGACTGGATAAAGGAAGGACTATAGAGCTAACTGTTAGGACAAAGGGTCTAATAAAAAGCTCAACATCAAAATGAATGAACCATGTCAGTATTATTCTGTAAACTAGCCTGTGAGGGGCCCCTGCCAAAAATAAGATCAGAAAAAAATCTTTAGGAATATGTGGATTAAAAAATACAAGAAATTTTAAAACACAAAACCAAAACAGCACGACTTTCTCTGGAAAGAGTTCTACTGGACTGTGTCTCCTTCTCTTTAATCCATAACTTACTGCCAGAGGTGGCAACACAAAAGCTAAGAAGGGGAAGGAATGAAATATGGGAAAACTTGACCTCAAAGCTCAGTGAAAATTTCAGTGGGGATGGCCTCTGAAGGTAACATGGCAGGATTTGTGAGTTCAGTTTATTTACTCTTCGTGGTTAAAAAAAAACCCACAAAGTAAACTCTGTCTCTCTCTCTGTCTCCATCATCTCTCGAGCTCACACACCTTTGCTCACTTTGCTGCCCAGTCTCCTTGGCCTGGCCAACCCCCTCACATCTTGGGAATAAAATAAAACCAAAGAAAGGTTTCAAAGGGAAAGCAAATTCTAGTAAGACAAAACAACATTATATAAGAAAGACTATTTTGGAAATACTTGGCACACACAAACTGACTTCCAAAGGTGAACTTTTGATTCCCTTCTGAAATCCAGTTTTTCTTAAATTACAATCCTGTATTTGAATCTTACATTTCTATTTCTTCTCTTAGCCCACATTCTTGCTTCCTAATATTAATATCTTTACATGTGTCTGCTGATACCTATTGTATTACAGGTTCAGAATAACACCCAGTGCTGTTACTATCAATATCAACATAGAAAATGGCTTTTCCTTTTTTTGTAGTTTTTTTTTATGTTAGGATAGACATCAATAGGAATGCGTAGTCAAACAACTAAAGGGGAAAAAATGTCTCAGGAACTTCACATGTAATGAAAAAGAAAAGCTACTTACAGCCACTCTCAGTAACTCCTTTTCTACCTGCTCCAGCTTATTCTGTTTAGATGCAGCAGAATAAAGAGCCGTTGCATAGCGACCTTCGACACCGTACACCTGAACAGGTGGCTTTAAAAAAAAAGTGGGGTTGGGGGAGGAAAAACAAATTATTATACAAATTATTAAATATTATAATATTTAATTATTATCAAATATTTATAATTAAAACTATACCTTTTATGCATAAAAGTTTAAATAATATGGCATGTTCAGTTTAATGGAAACCTTCGACATTTTACTGAGTGCCTGATGCTTATTTCTTAAATGAACTGTAGGATTTTTTCCTACTCACTATCATCAAGGTAGAGGCTCAGTGGTGCCGTATGGTCGTAGTGGAACAGTTTAGCCTCTGAATAGGAATGATTTAGTTTTAGTTTGGCTCTAAGGTCAAAATGAGTAACCTTGGTGAAGTATTCCTTTGGTGAAGTATCAATTGCCTTTTTTGTAAAATGAGAGGACCAGCTATTTCCCACCCCTACTTTGGGTTTTAAGAAATCCGCATTTTTAAGATTATGCGCGGGCCTATCACACAGCAGGCATTCATTATTATTTGGTTCCCTATTCTCACTCACACCTTACATTTGGAGAACCACCAATTGTGCAGTCTTAGATAGTAGTATGCAAAAGTCCATGCTCGGGGCACCGCTCCTTGACTCACACACTTACCCTCACAAGCTTGGAAAACGGCCTGACCGCAGAGATACTGAAGCATCGCATCTTTAAAGCAATAAAGACAAGTAGAGTAAGTGAGATTACTTAATGGATTTCTGCATTTAAACCATTAATAAAAAAAATTCCATACAGGTTTTAAATGATTAGTTTGTTTCTTTGTATCATCACTCAGATTTCTAAAGGTGAGATGACCGATACACACTAGCTACAAGTACATTTCCCCACTGAGAACCATCTGAAATTACTTGAGAAATTGCCTTCCCATAGATCCCTAACATGCTAGGATTGGACTGAGACTAGTACACCAGCATGACAAAGAAAATACTAATTTCAAGAAAAACGTTCAAAACGATTTAACAAGATTTTTGGCATTTATATCACCACCCTTGGGCAGGATTTCCATAAAAAGTGGGAGGATTCCAGTCATGGTTACAAAAGACAAACCTTACAATCCAAATACTATTCGAAAGTAAAGATTAACCTTTTGAGTATTGCAGCCGAGTCTGAGCTGAGCAAAGGGCCTAGTTCTCAGAGGTGGTGTTTTGTCTATCAAGGGGCAGAGTTGGAATCCACGGCACCTGCAAGGGCACAGGTCACCTTCACTTAACTCCAGCTCTGGCGTGTACTCTATGGAAACTGGCTGTGAGGACTGACAGGCTTTAACATTTATGGTAAAATTAAGTAAGCCCTCAGGGGGTCATGACAGGTAAAGCATCGTTGTAGGTGGGTAACAGCACAGATTTTCGTTCCAACTCCATCTTCTGTGTGAGGTCTGTGGGTTCGGATCTCAGCTCTCCCTCCCTCTGGCTGAGCAGCCAAGGACGAGCCACTTAAACTTTCGGTCTCACTGTCCGGAGAGACATGTGCTCCACAAATACTCCTGAGCATTACCTACGACCCCTGCCAGGGTCAACCATGGCGGGGTTGGGGGAGATCAGGAGTGAGCCGCGTTCTTTCCTCGGAGTCAAGGGAAGCCCGGTCCTCTCTCCTGTACCCCCCAAACCTGCTGCCTCCCGGGGCTGTGCTGGGAGGACGCCAAGGCCAGACACCCCAGCCCTGCGCCCCGCGCCCGGCCAGCGTCCCGGGAGGGAAAGCGGGGCTGTCCGAGCCTCCTGCATCGATCGCCCCCACTCTCCGCGCCCCACGACCTCGAACGCGGCGGCCACACCTGCGGCCTCGCGCCGTGGTGCTAGGGGCTCCCCTCGAAGGGATCCTCCCGTCGGCTTCCGGGACCTCCGCAGTCTCACCTGCCGGCAAAGCCCGGACACAGCGGGGGCGGCCATCTTCTCCCGGGCGGCTGTAGGTCAAACCCGAGCTGGGAGCGAGAGATACGCGAGGGCGCACGCGCGCGTCAGCGTAGCCGCTCCGCCTGCTGGGAAATGTAGGCGAGGATCATTAGAACGCATGCGCAGAGACTTCCCTCAGGCTGGGAGTTGTAGTCCGTGGAAGGCATGGTACTCGATGGACCCAAGGGCCAGACTCCACGGGCTGGGGGTGGGGCTAATGGGCTCGGACAGCACCTGAACAGTGAACTTCTGGAGTGATTGACTGAGACCCATACTGGGGGTGGATTTGTTGTTGCTAGTTTAAAACTTTCCATTTGGATAACATCATGGCCTTTGTTGCATGTCACATTTGTCACGAGCATCATTAGGATTTTACCATTTCTTCCGACCTCGCCAAAAGGGGGATCAAACCTAGTTTCTCAAGCTGTTTTCAGAGCGGACACTACATGTCCAGTGCTTAGACCATGAGTGGCCCCCTCCATCCTCCCCAACCCACCCCAACGCTTCTCATCTCACCTGAGAATAGATTTGTGGGCATGTGACATTTTGGTGCCTAAATTCTTGATTCTGGGTAGGGCAGAGTGATGATCTGAGAATCAGACCTAAAATAGGAGATGAGGGGTTTGAGCAAGAGTGACATGGAAACTGAGAACAGGACACTAGCCTTGGTCGGGTTCTCTGCATTCAGCCTATTTCAATCTATTTCCTCCTAATTGGTGCTTACTCCAATGTTCTCGTCTCAGATCCCTTGGTTGTAATAATGGGTCTGTGGCCAATTCAAAAGGTTTTCTTTTTTTTCAGATCTGTTATAGGAACACAGATTAATTCAGTAATTTACTCTTTTAGAGTGTAGTTTTCTTATTATATAAGAAAAAAACAAACTTGTAAAAATGCAGAAAGATAGGAGGGATACAGTTATCTTCTTTTCTGTTATCCAAAGGCAGCTGTTGACAATAGTTTGGTGAGTTTCTCCCAACAGCTTTTCAGGAAGTTGGGAGACCTTGGCCCAATCATGTAACTTCTCTGTGAGTCTGTTTTCTTATCTATAAAATAGGTTTTATAGTAGAAACTGCCTTATAGGTTGTTAGGAAAAATAAGGAAGTTAACAGATATATGAAGTACTTAGAACAACTGCTAGGCAGAGTGGCACTCAATAATGATAGTTCTTTATTTTGTGTTTGTGTTTATTACATAAATAGAATCATAATGTAATAAATTACATTGTAAAAAGAATGTGATTTACAATGTCATTTAGTGCATTGTGAAAAAGGTTGCTGCTATATATGGAGTGTGAATACATGTTTACACTAGAATGAGAGCATATTTCCAAGTGATAGAGTTTTATAACCACTGTAATGGCTGCAGAATAAGCCATTGAATGGATATTCTGTAACTTAATTATTCAGTGATTTTTGAACATAATTCAGATGACTTCCATTTTCCCCTTCCAATTTAAAATAATAATACATCACCTGAGCAGTTTTAGAGACAAACTTCTCTCCTCCATATTTAGGATAATTTCCAAATAGATTTCAGAACGGACAACTTGGTGAGAGGGTGGGAGCACTTTGAAAGTTTTTGTTGCACGAGGTCAAGTTGCTTTTCAAAAGTTTTAAACAATGTACACTTGTTTTGCTCCACTCTGCAACTTGTTTTCAGAGGCTATTTTAAAATAAATCTAAAGGAAAGTATATCATGTAACACATTTTATTGAGCACCTATTATGTGTAGCGGTCAATAGCCCATTCTCCCTGCTGTTGGATTCTTGGGGCCTTCTGAAATCTCACTGCAGGGAGGTCAGGGAGCCTCTGCAGCAGTTTTCTAGCTGTGTGCCTGCCATGCCTTCCATGCAAGAATAGAGATTTTGGAAAGGAAAAAAGAATTTTATCTTGGAGAAAAAGGGAAAAGACTTAGCACTTGTTTTTATACCATGCTACTTCTATACAAACTCAAATTGTTTTAAAATTAGTTATTTTAACGACTGAATAAAAGGCACTTGCCCAAGGTCATAGAGCAGGACTGCAGTGGTAGCAGAACCCAGACATGGAATGTCCACTTTTGTTCTATGCTCACTTTTGGTTCAGAACAAATACTGCTCACTGTTTCATGTTCTCTACAAAGGCACCACACGCTGGTGTGGAAAACAGCAGTGTGATGCCACCAGATCCTCAACTGCGTATGTTTTCATAAGTGAAGTGACTTCCCCTTCAACCCAGAAAGAACCCTTCTAAAACCCAGAAATCCGGAAGAGGATTAATATGCAAAATGTTCACTCCGTTCATTTCAAAACAGCAAACAGTTGGAAAGAAGTGCCTGAGAATCAGAAAATGGCTTTTAAGATGGCACACTGGGCATGGTATGAAATGAGTTTCAAAAATTATTTAATGTTATAGAAAAATAATGACAGGAAAAATTACAAACGATATACTCTGTAGAGTGTGTAATCATTCTGATTATTGTTACCATAATACAAAACAAAGGGGACCTCCCTGGTGGCCTAGGGGTTAAGTTTCAGCGCTATCACCTCTACGCCTGAGTTTGATCCCTGGCCAGGGAGCTGACCTATGTGACACAGTAGACCTCTCTTGTCTCCCCGCTGCTCTCCTCAGCAGTGTGTTTCAGTAGATCTGCCTGTTCTGCTCCCCACTCTATCTCTGGTGAATCTTCTCATCCACCGCATCTCTGGCCTGCACCCCAGTTCTTCTGTGTGAAAGAAAAAAAAAGAAATAAAAAGGATGCACTCAATTACTGCTGGCCTTGGAATGGAGCTCCTGGTTTCTGATGATACTTCCCTTGTGACACAAAGGCCATTGCTTCAAGCTGACGATGTCCATGAAGGACCAGGCTCCAAGGCTGGACCAGTGTTGCCTTCCCAAGATGAGCTTCCTTCCCAAGCTTAGCTTCAACACAGACTCCACCAGCCGGAGGGACTTCCTTTAGCTTTGTGGAGCACATACCAGCGACGGTGTCTTCAAGGCAAAACCAGGTAACCCCCACTTTTCAAAAGTCCAAATTGTACCATTTTATTGTTATGAAAAATCACATAAACTGTTTTGGTTTACAGAAGGTTTTCTGGAATGCTACTTTTGTATAGTGGGGTATGCCTGCAGCAAGACATTCCCTAAGTTCTGAAAGGACCTGGAAACAATTGCATTATTCATGTGTTTACTTATCTTGGAGTGAATTCTGTTTCAACGTTCTTTTTCTTTCTCCTCCAAGTTTATTTGGAGACCTGTGCATGGATCCTTTAGAGCAAGATCCTGTCTTGGGGCCACGGCTGGCAGCCTGGATATTGAACTTCATATATAGCTTGTCTTCCATTTAAACTTTCTTAGTGGAAAAATGACTTTGTCAGCCTTCTACATAGGTCTGCAGATGTCCCCATTAAAGGGGGGCCTTAGGGCTATCCCATCAATCAGCACAAGCCCTGGGACTGGAACCGATCAGCCTTTGAAAAAGAAAAAGTGTGAGGAAAATGGACAGTGAAACTCCCAGTTCTGTGACCATATATAACTTTCAACCATTTAGCCTTAGGATTAAGGATACAGGGAAGAAAGAATAAACCATGTGAAAAATGACTTGAGTCTTTGAGTTTCAGGAAGCGGCTGCGTCAGGAAGGTCTGCAGCACGGAGGGCCGGGTTCTGGAAGGCGACAGAGGGAGGCCGGCACCGCGGGGCTGGTCACGCACCCACCTAGCCCTTCCTCACCTTCCTCCTCCAGGCCCACAGGTCCCACCTTGAGGCCTCACAAACTCAGTATTCAAGGTCACCGCTCCCCCTCAGCCTGGCCCGGGTTTCGGGAGGATCGACCGGCCACTGGGGGGCGCCATTTCCTCACGTTGTAGCCTCCGCTCTCGCCTCAGAATCAATTTTTTTCTAGAACTTTCCCCATTGAAACCTCCGTGCCGGTGCTCTCCCAGCAATTAAGCGTTAAGGTGTGGTGAGAGTGACAGACAAAACGGGAGCTGCTGAGCCAGATTTCCTGTGCTTGGGGCCCAGTCTAGTCTCTGCCCCACAGCCTCGCTCTAGTCACGGAGCCCAAGAAACAAGCACCTCCCCCCACAGTTTCCCTCACCCCCTCGGTTTCCCCCACCCCCACGGCTTCCCCCCACCCCCACGGCTTCCCCCCACCCCCACGGCTTCCCCCCACCCCCTCCTCCCCACAGAGCCGGCCTTGGGCCTCTCTCTCAGGTTTTAACCCTCCTCCTCAGCTGACCCAAGACTTCCTCATGGAACACCTTTCTCTTTCTGGGTTTGTCCAGGGGAAACGTTATGGTGCTGTCCTGGAAGATGGCAAGGCCCGAGGAAGAAGCGAGTATTAACACAGAACATTTTTTTTAATCTTTTTTTTAAAGATTTATTTATTTATTTATACAAGCACTGGGTACAGTCAGAAGAGCGGGAGGGTGAGAGAATTCACCAGAGCCAGAGCGGGGAGCAGAACAGGCAGACTGAAGAAATACACTGCTGAGGGGAGCAGCGGGCGGCAGGAGAGGTCTGTCGCACCATGTGGGACCCTCGCCGGCGGCCGGGGATCGAACCAGCGCTGCAGAGGCTGTGGGCAGCTTCACAATCCAGTGCTCAACCGCTGCGCCACAGGAGGCCCAATATAGAACATTTTTAATGTTAGTTGACTTGGTAAAACTGTAGACTATAAACTGAGAAGAGCGAGGGACACAGGAAAGGGGGTGCTCGCTGCCCTTTTCCATGTGCTCAAGCGCTCAGCCACTCAGTGGCCTGCTTTTACTTGGTGGCCCTACTGGACCCTGGGTTCTGGGGTGGGGTCCTTTGTCACTCTGTCACTGTTGTCCCTGCAGCGGTTCCCTTGGGTGGGGCAGGGAACCTCCCTCTTTCCTCGGGACCACCCTGTTACAGCTCCAGGATCTTCAGCCTTGTGGCCTGGGTTGGACTCCCAGCCCCACCAGTGTGTGGTTTGGGTGATCCCCTTACCGCTGTGCCTCCGTTTCCTCACCTGGAAAATGGCGAAAGGAACAGTAAGAATCCGGTGAGTGAAAGCCTGGAAAGCATTCAGCGCTGGACTGGCCC